TTAGTTATATAAACATATTTGAAGTAAGGATAACAAGAGTTGAAATCCATCTGTCTTGAGCTGTTGATGTTTGTTTCAAGCAATGTTGAGGACATTGCAAAAAAGTTATAACATGACCAGAAACAATTTAACTCTGAAATTTGGATGGTCTTTAATTCAGAGTTGGTATGTCAAATCTTAAGATACTACTAGCTCACCCAAGAGATGTTCTAACAGACATGTTTTATTACAAGATACCATGTTTAAGTTATCTCTTTTGGCATCATACTGGACGTCATAGGTTTGGTACTGTTGGGTTATACTTAACTATAACATCACTGTCATAATGTGAAGTGTTTACCTTGCATATAGATAAGTTTCATACACTCATATATATATAGCAACCGTTTCCCATATTATGGGTAGTATGTTTTATGTTTATTTTGTGTGTTTTGTTCGTCATAGGAAACATTAAGGGAATCATAATTGACCAACTAAGTGCTTTTTGGAGTGGCATTTCATCTGAATCAGATATCAATTTTGTTTTGGTATGAACTTTATTTGGACTTATTTTGTTAGTGGGTCCTTCTTCTTCCATTGTATATCTGACATGTTGGATTGAAATTCTGGCAAAGATTTTGTGTTTTAATGTTCAGCATCATGCAAATTCAAGATAACCTTCATGTGAATCCTGTTTTCGTGTCTAAGGAAATAAAGTTGGAAAGTATTCAATTCCAGATATATACATGTTCGTGGCAATGCTTGGGATAAACTAGGCCCCTGAATCTGAATTAGGGCTTACCTGGAGCCGGCCGGCAAGCTGAACCAGGGCTAAATATACCCATACCATATATAGTAAACACATATAACACATGATATGCTAAGGTGTTCTGAGGCTTATATCTTAGAAATTGGTACAACATTGCAGAATTATAGAGTCTTATATTTGATCATTCAGATTTTGATCTTTTGTGTCTGATATTAACAAAAAGAACAACCTTATACAAACATATAAGGATTCCTTATAATGGTTCTATGTGAAACATTACCCTTATCTCAAAGGCTGTTATACATTATATGGCATACCTATAAAACTATGTGCAGTTAATCTCAAGGGAAAATGTCTTGTAACTTGTCATGAATTGGTGTAACAACTCGTCCCAACTAGACCTTTCAATTATATTGTTGACTTGCTGGATCCTTCTTATTTGCAGGTCTGTATTCAGTTATACAATCTTACCACCAGGTATTTTTAAATCCCAGCAAATTAACTCATAAGGTATTTACAGACCCCTTTACAATCAGCTTAGGTATATTTGTATGAGATTTGCTCACCTTTTGAGCTAGTATATTCAATTTAGGCTATGTGTATTTGAACACTTTTTGTTCAGTATTGTCAACATCTGAATGAAGTTTGTTATTTTAAAAACAGAAATCAATCAGGTTGACCTATAAGATAGCTATTGGTTGACCTCATGGATTCTTGTAAACTGTTAACAAACTTAGTAGAGCCATACTCCAATAGAAACTTACGTACAGGTATAGGTAACAACATGTAGTATGTTATACTAGATTAGAATAGGACAGGATATTCTTACTTGCTATTGTTAAACCCTTTGCTGCCCCTCCCTTTCTCGTACAAAAGATTGAAATATTTCTCTTATATTTTTCAGTATAATGTAAGGCACATTTGAGAAGCCATTTCTCTTAAATTCAGGATGTGATAATATGTAGAGCATCATTGCTGTTATTGCTCAGCACTGGTCAATATGGTCAATAGAAATTGTGAATGGGGTATCATGGCAGTGAAATAAGGACTATATTTTCTATAATAAAAAGTTCAGAAAGAAAACTGAACTGCATCAGCATAACTAAATTGATGAATGCAACTGGTTAGAATAATGTTAACAAAATGAAAGCAATGATATAGACATTAAACCAAGTGAAGTGATTCAGGATGGCAACTGTTGAGTTCTGATATCTCGAAAATAAGTTTCATTTACACAGAGTGGTTGATATGAAGATAATACAAGAATAGCGTTGGTAAGATATAGACCAAGTCTATACTCAAAGAGATAATTCTTTGGTCTTGTCTGTATGATTCACTCAGAATACATAGACAATTAAACATGAGAAAATGTATATAGTCAGACCAGAACAAGGTATTAACATGCAAAATATCACCACCTGCCATTTGTTACAGACCCCCACGGCACCAACTGTAGACTGCAGAACACCAAGTGCCGAATACCGAATACCATCTACAAAAAGGTGGAGACAATAACAACATGTCACCACTTGTGGTGGTGACAATGGTGACATATAAACCATAACATTCACTTCATATCCAAACACCCATTAAAGGCCGTGAATGCTACATTTTGAAATCAAAATTGTATCAGCATCTAAAATTCAAGTTCATCTGTAATAGTCAGTGGGTGGTGTGGCTAGCTTGTGCCTGTGGTAATTACCTCCATAACTAAGTGTTCTATTAATATAACTGATAATAAAACTATAACCTGTTATTTCATTACTCACACATGATATTTATGGTGATATCTAAATTATTAGGCAGTCCAAAATTTTCCCTGAGTGCTGTAGACTTGAATACTGTACTAATAGATGAAATTCTCATCTAAAGCAAAATAAAAACTACTGAGCCCGACTGGAAAGGGTATACCAAATTTTATGTGTACAGTTGAAAAAGGTGAGACTAAAGATTTTGGAATAATGATGCTGAGTTGACATATAATAAGCAGTAGACAAGCATACTTTCTCTCCCATCAAAAAAGCATAAATCCCTTAAAGGTTTAACCTTCTTTATTGTAAATATACCTTCCAAAATCTGAATCTGTATTGGAATAGGTAATTGATTTAAGGGCAAGACTAGATACAAGATTAACAGAGGAGGTCAGCGACTTTAATACAAGACTATCAGAATAGTAGAATTTATATCTGACATACTTAATGTAAGGGAAGGTTTTTTCTCTTTTTCATGAAATGATGTGAAAACTCCTTTTTAAAGTTTTTACTTTTTGTCTAGAAGAGGGTTTTTCTAGAGGTCTTAATTATACTGCTAGCCTCTAAGTGTCAGCTTGGTGAAAATCACTTAACTTTTACTTTGCATGTAACTTCTAAGGAATCTGAAAAAGGTCAAACATTTCACATTTGGCGCAGCAATTTACCTGGTATAAAGCTGCTAGATTTACCTGTATTTGTGGGTATAAATATCTGGTATTTACTCCAGCTTGGTCTAGAGTCTCACCACTATCCTTGCAGGGTTTGAAGTTTGCCATCTCAAGTCCTGATGTTTAAATCATTTATTTATATTTGTATTTAATTTTAGTAGGGTATTTATATGATGACTGGGTTGTGTTGCTTGTGTTGTATTGTGTCGGATTTGTAATGGAAAAAACATTTTATGCAATCAGTACATTTGATATATTTTTAGCATATATGTACCCATATTATGTTTGTATAATGTTCTACTTGACCCGTGACCCTACTATAACTCTGTTAAACCTATTAGAAAACAATAATTTATCTAATAATCATCCTATCTTTCTTATCATTCCCAATCGCAATTGTCATGGTATACCATGATTGTGATTTATGCTTTTGGACAGGTTATCAGTTTATTTGATGTGACCAAAATATTCTGAATGTTTGTTTATCAATAAAGAATGTTTTATATTACAATAGATATGTTTACAATGCAAACTCGTTAAAAAGTTCATTTGCAAAGTCAATAAAAATTCATTCATAGAACCAGTTTGTATATTCATGTCCAACATTTTTGTAGTTTTCAGGGTTTTAAGTTTGAATTAATTCCTTTTGAAGTTGAACATATCCATATTGGCTAACATGAACTACACTAGGCTAGGTTAGGAATTAATGTTTTTGTAAGTGCTTTACTGTATTGGATGCAAATCATTTAGTTTCGGAATTCTCCAATCATGTAATACAAGGCTTATGGATAAAAGAACCGTGTCTGTAATATGTGTTGTGTTTTTAAATGGTCTTAAATATTTCAGTATTGGGCCTGTTAGGTGCAACACATTCTTTGCTCATGTTTAACAGCTAATGTTCAAGGCCTTCAAATGATTTTGGAAAATTGACAAATTTTAAGTTGGCATGTTCCTCAACATCTCCTGCATACATATTCATGTGGGAACAGAGAGATGCAGGGGAACTCTTGATTCAAGACCAATATATTTGGAGTTTACTGTTCCTTAATACATGAGATTTGTTATATAGTAATTTGCTCATTGTTATCCTATGTATATTAAGATACCCAAAGTTCCCGCAGTTCCGAACCTCCTTTGTCTTGAACTTTCCCATGCAAGTGGGAGATTAGAGGGGGTCTTGTGCCCTCTTATAAACCAGAAGATATATATTTTACAGGTCAAGAAAGTGTAAGTATATTGCTTTGGAATAAACCAAAGGATATAAGGTTAGATTCCCATTTCCCATAAACTTTTTCTAATTGTGGTTACAGTTATTAATTACGTAGCAATGTCTATAAGATAAATACGCTTTTATCGTATGATCTGTAAAATGAAGCCTTCTGATTGGTAAGTTCTTGTGCTGTACCAATCTGTATTGCTACTGAGATTGTCCCCATTGATCATCTCCGTCGCAATACAGAAAATATTGGTATAGAGGGAACAATCTCAGTAGCAATACAGAGGATCACACGATAAAAAAGTTATTGAATGATTTGAAGTGCAATACAGGATATATTCTGCCTCGATATTCTGTATTGGCACTCGACTTTGTCTCGTTCCAATACGGAATTTCTCGAGCAGAATATATCCTGTATTGCACTTCAAATCATTCAATAACTTATAGTATCTATGTGCCTATATGTACCCCCTCTCTCAATATGCTTATGCATATCTAGGAAGTAGGGTAGAACAGACCATTGGGACTGGATGAGACTGCCCAATATGATATTCATACATGTAAGAAAAAAACATGAATTTTTATGGTAACTAACAATTTGTTCTGTGTATTTTCAGCTTTCCGTAACTTGACCAAACTTTCCGACCAACACAATGTCTGATCTCGAAGCCAGAAGAGAGGCACGTCGTAAGGCAAGAGCCGAGAGAGAGTATGTATCCACATTGGATCTCCTTTACAACTAATATTTTCCAAAGCAATTATTGCTATGTGGCAGTTTTGAGTCAAGTTTTTTGATTTTTAATGCATGGTGATTTTGAAGAGTTTTAGTTCCTATTTCCAGTGTTAGAGTTTAGATGTGATTTGATTGAATTTTTTAACTGTGCTGTAATATATTTTGTAATTTTATATACAAATATTAGTATGTATTCCCAATGAGTTACATTTCTATTATGGCACAGATGATTTTACTTATAACTCGTGAATTAGATCAAATATACATATTCATAATGAACAGAGGGTCCTCTAGTGAGAGTACTTCAACATTTAGCTATTGTGCCAAACTGTGAAAAGGGTATTAGTTGGATTCATATGTTAAATCCATGCCCATTAAGCACAACTTTTTTAGCACAACTTGGAATATTATTGATTGCAAAATTGAAATGGGCCAATTCTTTTAAAATTATTCCAAATTTCAAAATCTCTTAAAACTAGAAGGCCCTCTGGTTTATCATAGTATAGTTTTCCATCTAGAAATTGTTTTGAGGTTGAAGTCTGCATTTTTTCTGATTACAGTAATGTGTAGCATGATTATTTTGCTGTCACCTGTCAGCCGTTTCGACAAATCATCTTTTAGAAATATGTCTTGTCATCTTTCAAATACTCGTCATCTTTGAAAGATTTTTTTCACAGAGATACATTTCAGTATCTGTTTGTTTAGCTGTTTCAATAGATACAAAGTTCTTAAGATAAATTCATTATTAGGAATTTCTATTCATTAAAATGATATTGCTGTCACATTCAATAAATATCTTATACACTTAACTTGACTTTCATATTCATAATCATGATTTAAATTAAAAGGACACAAATATTCTTTTCCAAACTGCAAAATTGATTATTCAAATTTTGACAAAGCCTATCACATATCAACCATTATTTAGACAAGTTCATATATTTCAATGTCATTCAACTTGATCCATCGCAAGTTATTTTATATGACTGAAGGGATACACTGTTTGGGTTAACAGTATGAATGTCATCTATTGATACACAGAATATTTTCAACTTGATGATATTGTTAATATTTGAAATGTGATTCTCATCATTGAAGTGAAGGCCTATTGATTAAAACATACAGAAGTCTTTGATTTTCCTTGATGTCAATTTTTGGCATATATCATGGTTTGTGCTTAGAGAATCTTCAGGTTTGATGTTGAACTTTGCATAATCAAATATGGTATGTTGATTTTGTTTCTTTTGACATATTTTTTTTAATATAAAATTATAAGACTGAAATTTCAAATAAATGAATGAGTTGAGCTGGTACTTTCCCAATCTAAAGCTGCTTCTAAGAAAGAGAAAAAATATTGAAGCAAACAAATGTTCAAAAATGATTTTCTGATTGATTCCTTGTTAAGTGTTCAAACATGGAACTCCTTGATGAGGTGACAATAAAATTCATTTAGTAAAGACACTGCACATGAACATTGCAAAGCAAAACAGATTCCAACCCTTTTATACCTTATTGCTATCATCTTCACTTTGATCTTAAGGCTTGACACCTTGAAGTCAAGTACATCATTATTACCTTCAGTCATATCTTTGACTTGTTATATCTGTTGACTTTTCAAGTTTAAGAGTGATAGCCTCTTTGTTGACAATCTAATGTTGCAAAATTAGGTACTTGATCATTCGCTTCTTCAGATTTTATATCATAAATCACATCACTTAATTAATGACAATTTATCATGTTATAATGACAGTCATTCATTTAATTATCATAATTATCATTAACATAATTGTGGAGTTCTATCACTCAGAATTCTCTTTTAGGTTTTAAATCACAGGTGTACAAAATGTATTTTCTATCCAATATTAAATTTTGTTTATTTTAATGCGTTCCTTTTTCCTCTTCACAGATCAGCCAGGTAATTAAATTGTCATTTAAAACCAATAAAAGACAGGTATAGTATGGGAGGTTGCTTAAAATGTACTCATCCCTAACTTTTTACAATTAAAAATTTCTTTACGAGCACATTTGCTTTTGCTGGTCAAAACACCTGATTTATGTTGGTTTAACATCTAATTTTTTGTTTTGCTCTTTTTTTTATTAAATTTTATTTATTTACACTCTTATGAACTTCTTAATAATTTCAGAAACATGTCCTTATAGTGTAAATGTCTGATATCCTACGATAAGTGTCTTATCCAGTTGTCTGTTACCTACTGTTTTTCTTCGATTGATTTTTACCTTACGTATAATCAGTTTGTTGGTATTTAATTTTTTATGAATATGATTATTTTTAAAGTATGTGTATGTATGATTGGTATACCTGGTTATAAGTGTAAAGTAAATACAGTATATACCCCTTTACCTTTTATCCATCCAATTTATTATTATATATATATACCATTTGTTACTTTTTTCCAAACCCAGTCCCTCATCCCAGATTGTCCCAAGTTTAGATCATTAATTTTTAGTAAAACGTGTTAATAGCTTGGCTTAATACTTACATTACAATTTTAAATCATGATATATCTAAGATTCATTTAAATTAATGTATAAATATTTTCATTCATAATTGAAAGATGGCATACGTGGTCATACTACAGAGTTCATGCATGGTGTGTTCCCACATTTCTGTTTTGTTTTCCCGCCATTTTTATTTATTTGTGTTCTGCATGGTTGTGCATGTTTTAGAGCGGCAGAGGCAGCGAGTGGGGGTGGAGATGACGAAGCTAGTGATAGGATTGCACGACGTCGACGGGAGCGTGAGGAACGCCTTGCCAGAATGTATGTTGTGGGTTTGATTAGTTTACTCCATTTAACACCCCTTTGCTATCACTTAGACTGGCCTACTGTAATGGTGGGGTATGGTCTATTTGGAAAAAGAGGGGTTATAACATGTCTGCATTGGTTCCATAGTTTATTTATCAGTTCTCATGAGTTTTGTAAAATTCCAACTAATTTCCAGTACATGTACTAAACATGTTTGCATGCTTTTCTCTAAAATGTCTATAGTATTTAAAGAAAAAAATATAGTTCTATAGATCAACATTTAATATGTTAGCATGTATCTTTTATAGTTTATTATCTTTTTCGTATAAAGGTTGTGATCATGTAAGCATATATGTACAACATGTAGTTATTTGCTATATTGTAAATATTGAAAATGATTATTATCTATTCTGTATTGATATATTTATTATAGTGATGATGGGTAAGAGTGAACTGAATCCCATTCTTGTAATAACTGTCTGTGTGAATACTAAATTGACTTTTCTATAATTTAAATGAGTAAACAGTTACCTATCATAATACTGAAGGATTTTACACCACATGCATAATTTCCCTTATCACAATCAATATATCAAAAGTGCCATATTTCAAAACTCAAATTTCCTTGTAATAAAAGCAAAGGCCCTATCCCCATCACTGAACTAAATTACCCTAGCCTGTTAATATAATGAAAATGCCCTGATAATATACTGAAAATGCCCTGTTAATATACTATATATGCTCTTTTAATAAACTGAAAATTCAAATCACATGCAAACCAAAGTAAAATGGCGTAGCATAGAAATATCCAATCAAGTGAATGGCCAATCTTCACTTCTAAACACTTTGTTACAAGGAGAAGGGAGGGTTAAACCATAATGATAATAAATTCATTTTTCCATGACTGTTTTTAATTGGACACATCCATAAACTCTATAAAATTGAAGTATTTTTAGGAAAGAGTCTAGATGCTCATTTTTCTTGTTGATTCTTTATATTTATATATGTTTACATATACACTGTATTGTCTTAATATATTTGAATACTATATTCTTGATTTTTTATTTAGTCCTTTGTAATCCTTGTATCTAAAATACATAGTACTACATTCTACTTTTTGTTTTATATTTTTCAATTGTTACATGTTGCAAAAATTCCCTATTGTGTTCAATTTCCTCATGTTTATATCTTGTTCCATTAAATAAATCATTTGGATCTGTTATTCACAAAATTACATATTTGTAGCACCAGCCCATTCCAGTACTTAATCGTAAAAGTGTTGTTGTATGCATGTCAACACCCCTTGGACCCATATAAATCGATCCGTAATCTCAAAAGCAGTTTCTTGTATCCTTATAAGAAAGGGGTGTTGTCATGTCGTCTGCATGTTAGCATGTGGTGACACCTATCCCTGTGTTGTGTATTATAGGGCTGCTGACAACACAGAAGAAGATGACTTGGAGAAAAGACGTCGCGAGCGTCGTGAAGCAAGACTAAGGCAAGATAGAAGGCGCTTGTCATGACGTCTGATGTCAGGGCAATACATGGCGCATTTATGTTGATTAATTATTTGTTAATCTCTTTATGTCAAACCATTACATCGCATATATTAACTGGAATGACATTTAAAAAGCTAAAGTTTGTAATTCAGAGTTTTCCTAGCACTTTTTATATTTAATAATTTGTTCATTGAGTGCTCACTAATACTGTGTGTTTTTGAACATTTTACATTTCAATAATAACTTATTTGTAGTAGACTTAATAGTTCATAGAATTTTTAGTATTTAATCAGAAATGATTTCATAAATCAAGTGTTTGTTTAACTTTGGTGTTGTTATACGAAAAGCTGTGTTGACACATTTGAATTATGAAATCTTTCATATTGTTTTTATTCCCATGAAATACCCAGTTGTTTTTCCAGAAATACTAACCTATAATGTCGATAATTATGTTTTAAATCTAACCATGTGTTTTTATTTTTGTTCATATTAGCTTAAAGTAGATGAACTGGTATCTATCACTGCCTGTCTTGGTATAATACTTCATTTTAGAGAATGTTTTCCCAACCATATCATTCATTATTACAGTGTTTATTTGCATGGCATTTAAAACTCAAATCTCTTATTAAAACATTCACCTTGAAGATGTCATCTTAAAAATCATTTCCCCCTGAAGAGGTCATCTTAAAAATCATTTCCCCTTGAACATGTTTTTACAAAATCATTTCATCTCATTCAAGTTTGTCTTCAGTATCACTATGCATGTTGACTTCCATGCTTTAGTCACTTAGGTTTTGAGGTGATAGGTGTACCCCAAACATGGGGTATTAGCATGTAATCATTTGTGCTGCTGTTCTATTCATTCCATTTGCACTTTATATTAATTTTGCTGGAAGAACGATGCTACCTTGAACGTATTAATTTCTTCATTCTTTCTGTGATGTCTATTATCTTCTTTGTTGGTTTGTGTTTTATGTAAGCCAACATGAATTAATAAATGCCTCATTAAATTAATTTGTGTTTGCTTACAAGTCACTTGCCTCTTTGTGTTTGTTTGTCATAATGTCTCTTTTCTGCCTTAACTTTCATTTTCTATTTAGTTGCTGACTAGTGGTTCCACGGTGACTCCAAGCGGCGCCAAACATAGAACACCATCCCGAGACTTTGACCATTCAGATGCTAAAGTCTGTAATGTTCAAAACCTCTTGATGTTGTCAGAAGCAATGATTTATATATAATCAGTATCAGACTAAATAAAATATCATGTTATGTTCACATTTTGATTGTGTTCAATTTTAGAGCTGCAGGCGGTGAAGAGGAAGAAACCACAAGCAGACGTAGCCGCAGAGCTGACCCTGAGCCAGAAGCAGAAGCAGAAGCTCCAGTAGAGGTTAGTCAGCCATCTTGAATTCAGCCATTTTGGATTAAGCCATAATGTCACATGCAAAGCATAGCCATATATGGCAATTGTAGACATTTTCATATGCTATGACTTCATGAACAGAACATTACATCAATATCATTTCCCTCAAATATGATCATTATTTTGTTTCATTTTGTACCCTATGTTGTATATTTGTATGTAGACTTTGTTTTATTTGTTTAATTATGTTGATTTGAGCAATGATTAACCAGTTTTCCTATGTATTTGTATATCATATTTTGTTACTAATTTCTTCACTATTTTATTCACATATTAATTGTCTCTGAATCTCATGTTTTGCTTTTATGTATATATGCCATTATATCATGCATCTATCATTACATCAATGTTCATATATAGCAAAGCCATGAATGGTTTGATATAAAAGCACTTAAATGTACCCATGTACCCAGAGATGTTTAACTGGTCACAGATCAAGCTCTAGAAGTGTCTGTTGTTCTTCCTTAATGTTTTACATTGGTGATTCATAATTTGATAATTTGGTGAAAAACGAAGAATTTGATCATATTTGATATATCTCATAAGTTGCCGAATTCAGTGAATTGGCACAGACTGTTTGGAGATAAAGTTCATCGAATATGCAATTCAAACAACAAGACTGAATTGAATTCTTATATTCTGATTGCAAAAGGTCAATTAAAAATGACAACTGCATGTAATATGAATCACCATTGTGTTTGCCTTATTATGTAAAGCATGTGACATGTTTACGCATGTGAATGTTTGTATCATTACAGAGGTCAACATTCAGGTCACGTAGACGACAACAGGAAGAAGAAGAAGTAAATACCATTCCATAATTTTCTATAAGTATTACTATAGCAACTAGATCGCTGGCTCTTGTATCAAATCTTTACATAGCTCCATATGTAGTTTGGGTACCATACTATCAAGTGCAGTAAAACCTGTCTAAGTAGAACACATCTGGTACCTCTAAAAAGTAATCCACTAACAGAGGTGTTCTACTTCTAGAGGTGTTCCATTTAACAGGTTTCACTGTACTGATATGTATGCCTTTTGAGTTGTAAATAAACTTAAATCTAGCAAAACCATGGGTACTATTTAGACCCCATCCTACTGTGAGTCCGCCTTTGGTATGATCAGCTTTACGATGGGCCTCGTGTAATTCATAATTCTTACATGTGTAACCCCTCAATTAGCTTTGATACCACTAGCAAACTTAGGGTATTATGGAGTCCGATGTACCCTGGAAAATTACATATGGAAATGTGGTTCAAATATTTGATCAAATCTCCTTATTTCCTCACTGTCTGATGGATCACTTTGATATATCTTTCTACTATATTTCTTCATATTGCTGTGATGTACAAGTTATACCTATGTGATGTGAACTTGTCTGTTGCATGATCTATTCTGAGTGATGTGATTTTGTTGATGTTTGTATGTAGAGTACTGGAAATCAATTGTATGTTCTTGTGTGTCTTCCACCTTTGTAAAACCTTCATCTTTATCCATATAGGCTATCATAATTTTCTCAATATGTATATCTTTTATTGACTCTTTAATGTCATGACAATGACATATTAGTCAATATAAAAGGTGAGACTGAAAAAGATTTACAATCATTTCTTTTTGGGTTTTTGTTTTCTATATCTTCATGTGTTTCTTCTATAATTTTCTGAGGGTGTAAACATTGTCTCATTGATGAGCAATGTCTTTTGCTTATATCTATTGCTTATACTAGTGTGTAACTTAATGATTCATTTGAGTATAAATATGAGTATACAGGTGAGTGAAACATGAGTGAGGGGTTTATATTTTTGTTTTCAAATATATATTCCTCACAACATGTGCAGTTCAAGAGTTATCGTTGATATCCATTGGTTTTAATAGTTGGAAAGCATTACAATTGTCTATATTCAAAACTAGTGGTTGGAAGACTGACTCGTGTACTCGAGTTTTACTCTCATTTGTCCTAAAAATCAATTGATCGAGTTGAAAACTTGAACTCGCGATTTGAAATGTTTACCAAAAATTATTATTCACTCGTTTTCACCTTACCTTGACTCGCGATTCGTCTCTCCTATTCGCAATTTCCATGCTTATAGTTGTAATGTTCTGCTTATAATCTGTATAGAAAACAACTTATTTTCTATTTAATGCCATGTGCGGAAGACAAACATACTCGGATTTTATTCTGCGTTCGTTATTTTTATGCAAAAGTTTCATTTCCGGTTTGATGCATTCTGGGAATATCCAACAGCCGGGAATTTTAAAATATTTGTCTACCGCGGTGCATCCTGGAACTTTCTGGATTGACGAAGTTTGTTTTCACTATTTATTCTGTAAGTTTTACTATCTATAGGGGACTAGGGGTGAACTTTAGCGATCTATAGGGATGTGCAATACGATTTAGACAATAAAAAGTATAGAGGCACTTGAAAGACTTGATCAAATTGATGAATTCTGCCGCTACTTCGGAAACTGAAACCGGAAGTAACTCAACTAAGTCAAATCGCGATTATAATCGTGGTTTTTCATGGCCCACTCGAGTGGAGATTTTCAGGCGAGTCCGACCACTATTCAAAACCCATTAGGTTTCATTAAATGGGACTAGTATTGGAATATTGGTAGAACAGGTGGGGGAGGGGTTATTAGATTAATACAGAGATGTATTAGTATATTTACTTTACAGGTATAAGGCTACTGAGGAAGTTCAATCCTATTTCCAGTTATCTTATAATAACATTGATGTTTGAGATAAAATATCAGGTAACTCAGGGGGTGCTGATGGTTGCCATAGTTACATACCTGGAATGTCAATCACTCATATGTGAGATTATCATATGTTAGGTCATATTTGTCATGCTTTATCATGGATAATGAGGAATTGGTCAGGTAAAGCAGGGTGGTGGTTTTACATTCAACATAAGGTGAAAATAATGGAATTCTGTGAGTGACTTAAGATATTTAGCATAAGGATGGGGAATCATAAAAATTTAATCTGGGACAAAAAAGTTATTTTGGTAGACATAGTTGTCAAAATCCATCAGACATATTGATGGTGCTCATCTATTAACTGGAAACATTTTTGGCTCATTTCTTATTTTTGCTCCAGTAGAGACAACTGAGAATTTGTGGAACTTTATGTATCATTGAAACATAATAATGATAATTATCAAAACATGTCTGATGAAATGAATGCCAAATGTTCTTTGTACAAACAGATAAACATTTTGCAGTTTAATATATATGGAATTGAGATACAGAATTTGATTGAAAGTTAAGAGATCATTTCGCCGCCCCAATTAGTGGAGCATATGTAAGACTGCCGGGGGCATGTTTTGTTCTCTGTTACAAGGTCCCAATTGGCTCATCTATCGATACACCTATCTACCTGATTAGTATAGTTAAAAGCTGTGTTCTGAGATATCTGTTGCTAAGCAACCAGCATCCCGTGCCAGTATTTGATTCCACTCAGGTAAAAAGGTGATATCGATAGGTGAAAAATGTAAGCAAGTTACACTGGTGATTTTGGTCAATTTTAGCTACAAATTCAGCTTTGGGGCCAAGCTGTGTAATATCCCATCACCGAGATGTATTTCTGTCCCAAGTTGTATCTTAAAACATGTATAGATTCATGATATGTCTTGAGAAGCATTAGCTTATCTGTATTTATGCAAATGAGCTGTATTCGTGAAGGTAGATCTGTACGTCACAATCTAGGACTTCTGGGACTGTACTAACGTCCCCACTTTTACTTCACTCTAGTCAAGTCTCTCATACAGCTTAGTTACTTCTTCAGGGCTTCAAAATGGATTCAGATACGGTAATTTATAATTTTCATAAGAGCATAAATATTTGACAATAATTAAAAATCATAGGAATCGTATAAAGTATCCTTGCAACGATGCAGTTGGATTTAATGATGTTATTCAAATTAACAAATTTTGCAGAAATTGGATATTTTCCGTACCTGGTCGAAATTGGATTAACGACTTTTAACGTGTGGAAATTCTTAATTGGATTACTCTATTATAGCTTGCATTCTAAGGATAATTGAATGGAGATATTTACGACCTGGAAATTCTAAATTGTGGCTTGGGATATATCGAGTCAGCTTGTTTTTGCCAGGTGTCAGTCTTGTTTATGATCAGTTGTTATAGACATTGTCTTGCATTTGTAATCCAGAGAATGTTTACACTGAAATTGTGGAAATAAAGTTGTTGAAATCAGAATGGGGTTGGAGGGGGTTAAATGGTACATGAGCTCTGTACACTAGTGAAATGGTTGGGATTGCATGATGTATTATAAAATCAAAATGTTTTTCTTTGTAGACAATTGTACTGCTTTCTAATCTATATAGACAGAAATAATGGTGACATCAGTCTAATACCAGTTTATTAGATGAAATAATTCTAGAAACTGCAAATATTTATATACATTGTTTAAAATTGATAAAATGCAACTAGGATGAAATAACATTTAATGTATCAAAGCAACATTTTAGTGTCCTTTCATGTAGTTGGATTGTTTATAATATTAATCACGCGTCTTCCTCTCCTTTCGAAAATGACACCCACCCAATATTTGATAAAACATCATTTTAGCAACAGACTCTGATGGTGATTGTGCCTTTCACGATCATGAACCAGTTACAGTCAAAAATGTTGCACAATGTCAATGAAAACCTCAAAAATCATTACATGTATTTCTCTGTTTTCAGGATAACACTGCCGCTGAAGAAGCCGCTAAGGCTGCAGCTGAAGAGGTAAGCAATAGTGTTTTCATGATTTAAACTAGATGAAATTTTCTAAATCTTCAAAATAGAAATATCTTATCTTATCTATCTTATCTATCTTTTGCCAAGTAAATTGCTCACTTTTAGCAAAATTTGGTATATGTTTCTACCTCTTACATTATCAAGTAGTACTTGTCATCTCTATAAAATTTTCATCTAACACCTATGTTCTATTTTTCTTATCATGCATTCTGAAAAGCAGCCTCAAAGGTAAATGTCTGATGTATAATGTTGTTGCATAAATGTTCTCTTCTTGCTTATGATATTGTATATATGCTTTGAAATTTCTGCCACCTGTTTGTTTACCAGTGTAACTATGCGTAACCATAGCAACCAATGAAACTTAGGATGTAACATTCAGAATATTCATAATATGAGAGCAGGAATGTCTATCTTATATTCAGCATAAATATGGATAGATATATTGGAGGAACATGAAGTCCATGGTTATATGATGATCTCAAATAACACTTGTTTCTGTTTTCTTAATATTTTGGTATGTTTCTCATGGATACAATTGTTTGGGGTATCTCTTAGAGTATCTGTCTACTCTTGGAGTATAAATCACTTTACTGTGGGATGTATACTTATGTTGGTGATAATTAACCTTTCTGGGCTATCCTTGTTCACAACCTAGTTATTAATATAGGCCAATATTGTTTCTGTGTAAAGTTCATTTCTAGTCTCAGAGGTCATCTGCAATACGAAAATAAGGTCAAAGTTATTCAAGATATTTTTGATAAATAAGAAATGAATCAAGGTCAAGATTTTGGTGTTTTTTCACAGTGGTGAATTTTTGAATTACTCATATAATGGAGAAATCCAGGTTTAATTCTTACCTTTACCTATTAGACTATATATACCATCTACATGTTGCAGCTTTTCATTGGCCTGTGGGCCTCATTAGTTCTTGGTGGTAAAAACAAGTTGATGTAACTGTTGAGGTATTGATTACATAAGATCAGCCCTATCTTTGTAAACCCTTCTCTAAAACAAACATCAAGGTGGTCCAAACATACCTTGTCTCTCCTTTGCAGGGTGATAGTAAGGAAAGATTGATGGTCAAGGTTTGATCTTAATGCGAGGCATTGTTCTATGCTGTTTCTTCACTCATTCAAAAATCAATTTGTTGTTTTTGGGAATATTCTGTCACAGAATTTTTGCTGATAGAGAGCAATGATGGATGCTACAGGGGGTTGGTATCTTGCTTCAGAAATAGCTACAGATACTGTAAACATGGAGTTACATAGCTAGTTAGAAGATAGCAGATATATGTGGTATTTATGGAACCCTAAAGACATGCTCTATCTTCCCTTTACAGCTTTCTATCTGCTTATATACATGCAGTATATACGTGTACCTAAACTATACATCCGTCTTTAGTTTCTGCAACTCCTATCAGAGTCAAATAATTATATTGGTTTGTATGTCTGCCTGGGAATATTTGGTTGTGCAGTAAAAAAAATAAACTGATTGAAAGTAGGATTTCATATTCCCAAAAAATCTAATGTAGTGCCTCTAAGTCACACATATCAAAATTGTGATCAAACAGGTCTCCAAAACAAAAGTATCCTTTTTTCTAGGGATGGAAAATTCAGGGGCTCTAATAGTTGTATGCAAATAGTCACACATTAGTATATCTTGATTTTGCATATTATTTGCATTGGAAAAGACACACCCGTGGTTTAAGTTAGAGGCTATGTATCATTTTGGGGATATGTGCATTATACCAATGCATATTCGTTGAAGGGAAATCCATGTGATATAAGTACCTTTTTGAAACAACGCAGTTGCACTGTAAAACGTTGAACCAGAACATTGCTTATGTGACTCCATTATCACCTCAAGTCACCTTGACCCATCTGTGGCCTGAGTCTAGCAGGTAGTGATATATCAGACTACATGACCCAGTGGGTGATGAGCTAATCATGTGTTTTAACCTTTAGAATCGAACAAGTTGCAACCAGGTGCAGCTGAGATTCAGTTAAAGGCCTTTACTGCTCACATCTTGCCAGTCTGGAAAAATATTTGGGAAGATGTCAAAATCATATTCATCCAGGTTAATGATTATTATGATGTTTATTGAGGAGAGTTCTTCTATTCATATTTCATTTGTGTTTGTACTTGGTAAACTTGACTTTTTAAGCTGATTATGTTGCGTAAGAGGCTTTAAGGTTTTCACTTGAGGCAAATATAAAGGAGATTCAAGTGGGATATTAAAGATCATCATGAAAAGTTATGCCATTATGTTTACGCCTAGTGAGCCCAATTGGCTGGAATTGTCTATTTAATACATATATGAAGGTCCAATATATTTTGTAAAACTGATTGAATTACTGACTGGCCAAAAGATTTTCCTGTAGGCTTTGTGTGGCATTTGTACTGTCTTAGCTCATCATTTTAATTCATATATCTTGATTATGCTGTCCAACATATAGGCCTGTCTGATTATATTTGGTGGACTTGCCAAGTGCTAATTAAATCATGTTGAGTATGAATATGAATTTCATTTATATGCCTAAGGTTTTGGCAGATCATTAATATTGATTGAGATCATTAGATACTCTGCCAAGATGCTTATAAGTGCAAGGGAGGATTTATATTCCTTAATAGATTAATTCATACAATAAAACATTGTGTATGTGTTCAAAATGTCATTGTGTTGTCTCTGTCTTATTGATCTGTTTTGTGTACTGTTATTGGACAATATAAATGTCTGTTTTATCTTGGGGTCATTTTGTTCCTTTTCGCTGTGACGTGTTAATTAATGTAGTTTCCGTCTGGTTAATATTTTGTTATTGTGCATCTGCTAAGGAGCCCGCTCAGGAGGAAGAAGCCCCTGCTGCAGAAGAAGAAACCCCCGCAGAAGATACAGTAGATGCTGAGGCAGAGGTACTCATGGCATCCCAGAAGTCCCCACAAAAGACACAGTGTGTGTCAAATGTTACAAGAATTATTCCTTCACATTGCATCCGAGTGTCATCACAAGAATTTTGAATGTTAGGAGAATGCCTTTCCCTATTTCCTTTGTTGATTTTAGGTCACCTGTCAGATGGCACAGATTATTGTCTTTCTATTTTTACAATTTGATGTAGTTTGTGAACACAAATTGCATTACTTGTTAAATAGGTGAAGATTTCTTCTATATTCCTTTGTTCTTCTATTCACCCATCCTTTTGGAGTGTTACATGCACAGATTGTATTACAGCATGAAACTGTTCTTGTTCAAAACACTGTTGTACAAACATTCTGAAAACTTATGCACTAAGTTGTTTTGTCAGTGAGCTTTATGAATCGTTTACTTGCACATTTAGTATTTATTATACATTTTCCACACTTATATTGATATATGTGGCTCACAATGTGCACCGTCACCCTGTTTTATATACACTTTTACTTAGTGATATTGATATTTAACAGTTTCTACAGTCAGCTTGAGAAATCATCAAGCATCAGTGATAACACTATTGAAGATATTTGTGAACAATGTCTGGAAAATTTTAGTTGATGGATGCATAATGGTTCTACAAATGTTTGTAAAGCAGTGTCCATTGTTGACTCCTTCCTTCGTAAGTTACAAAGTGTGTAGTCATTATGTACATTCTAATTTAAGGAAGGCAAAGGCGGACAACTTTGGGCCTGTAAAACCCATATTACTTATTTTAGATCTACCTTAATAGGGTATCTATTGCTCACAAGCAACATTGTGTCTGATTTGTTGTTTCCAAGCAGTATATGGGATCTAAATTTTGTCCAATCCCCTGTCAGTGTGTTTCAATATTATCAATGTACCTGTATACCTACTGTATGTTGAATGCCTGTTTATGTTGTCATGTACTGTAATGTTTAAACAGGAAGAGAGACAACGGGAAGCTGAGGCTGAAGCTGAAGCAGAACGTCAAAGAGAGGCTGAACGTCAAAGAGCGGAGGTAGCTCCACCAAGTGTTACAGATCAGCACTAAATGATGCGTTCAAAATTGTGCCAAATATTGATTAATTGTGATTTTTCTGCGCTTTATACTTAAAACTGCTACCACTTTATAGACCAACCATTCTGTAACCTTAGGTGGTTTTTCATTCTGCATTGAATTTTTACACTTCTTATATACATGTATATTGAATCTACCAGTATATTTGTCGTATAAGTTAATCATGAAAAAGTCACATTAGACATAGCTCAGAATTCTTTGAATTTTTTTCAGTCCTTTTGATGGGTGGTAGCAATTTTAAATATAGTATCACCCTGCTTCGCAATAGACTGTAAGATATCTAAGACAAACAAACCTAGATATCTAAAATATTGTTATACAAACAGAAATCATAGTGATTAATGGTTCTGATTCAATTAGACTGTTCATTCAACATTACATGGTAATAACACTATAGACTACATATATGGTCTCTATAACAAGTGTTCCTAGATTAACATTGAGGTATTTCCTAAAATGAACGGGATAATTGAATGCTTTAATTGGCTTTCAGTTGCATGTATACCAGCTACTTTGGTTTTTACTGTGAATCATTTGCCATCTTAAGGTGCATCCCACCGCCATCCCATAACTACCCATATTTATTTACTAAGGTGTGCTGTGTGATATTTTTTTCTTAGATAAGAAATCATTTCTCATTTTGTTGTATATCATAAATTCATTTTACTATACGAGTATAAATCACACTCTTTGTTATACTATAAGATATAGATTATCATTAGAGAAATTGTCATAGACATTCATTGTACCCATATTACTCTTATAATTAAAAAGCACATATTGTTAAGACACATTTGATTTAAGATGTGCACGATGCAACATTTGCACTGAATGTAAAAACCTTATATAAATACATGTAAAATTTGATTTATAGAATGATAAAATGTAGATATCAGAATATTATTAGACTGTACATAGAACCTTCATAACCAACCTTCAGTCAACTCGTCACCATTTAATTTTTTTGTTAATATTTTTAAGATCACTTATTATACAAAATTGTACATATATGAAGTCTGATTTGGAATGATCATTCCTTTTTCAGTACTGTCAGTTAAGGATTTGCTTCGACTTCTAGTAAACGTGAAGATTGGAAGACAAGATAGCAACTACTGCATTTTGGTGGAGCACATGAAACTAGGTCAGCCATCTTGAATTGTTTGTAACTCCATCTATTGTTAATTTCCAGGAACAGCGTCGCAAGGAACAGGAAGAAGCTGAGGAAGAGGCTCGTAAACAACAGGAAGCCGAAGAAGCTGAGGCTGAGAGACGCAGACAGGTATGTCATATTATTATTATATTCTATAAAAGAAGAGCTGACATTATAATAAGACTAAGAGGAAGATGGATCAATAGGTTTGGACAGTTCTAATGTTTGCAATGTGACATACGACATTCCTTCTAATTAATATCTCCTTATATGCAAATGTGAGTTGGAGCTTACAGTATGTTGTCTACCTTGTTTTGAAACATTTGTTCATAAGGTGAATATTATGAAGGAATTCTAGTTTATATTGCATACATTTTAACTGCACATAGCTGTTGGAAGTTGTATTCACTCTACAGTTTCCCTTGTGTTTTATTCACTCAGATTGCTGTGAACCCACATTTACTAAATCCCCGATTTGAAGTGTATTTCTATCTTCCATATGCAGGGCTCCATGTGTGAGAAAATGACAGCGATGGTCATTGTTTCAATACTTTTTGTAAAATATGAATTAATGTATGTACTCTCCATTTCTATACAATTTGTTATTTATCTGGGGTGCATTTCTGTTAGCATTCATAAATCCATGAATTCATAAGTCTATTGTCCTTTGACCATGACATCACTATTTCCATAGTAACAGCAATGGATTTATGTATATTCACTGTTATAATACTCTCTTTACTTCATTCTGACTAATTTTTCTTATTTTCCTATCTTGACTTTGTGCTCAATTATAAAATATGGTCACCATCTACTTTTCATTCTGTGTTATGTAGCCCTGCAAATGGAGTTGTGGATTTTAATCAAATTGATATGTGAACATGATCAATTTTTATGGCTTTGTAAATACTGATTTTGCCTTAAATGAAAATGATTATGTTCATTGTTTTATATTCCATAATGTTAACTTCCTCACTAGTAAAGCCTTGTGTGTAAGAGTGTTCACATTTCTTTTCACAATGAAATAATAATTGTTGTTTTGATTAAACACCTTGCTTTTGATATAAACAAGTTGAGTTTATATATTTAAATGTGCCGTTGCAAATATTAATTGACACGTGTTTTGTGTTTTGCCACAATTACATCCTGCTTAAATTGCACCCTATGTTGAATGAGAACATGAGACATTAAAGAGAGTTTAAGAAGTAGAAATTACAGTGTTAAGGTCTTTCATTGTGTTATTTGTTCAGATATATTCCTTTATCACTGTAGATTCTCCTTCAAATGTATTATACCAGTATATCAGCTCCTTCAACAAAGGGTATATTGCTCACTAAGAACATGGAAGGATTCACACAAGTTTTTGATCAGGTTACTTGGGAAAGCTCCTCCATTAGATAATGTCTTACTATTCCTGGGGATACTCTCAAAATGTTTTTAAAAACCATGATGAAATTGGATAGAGCTTTATACCACATATTTTATCCAATTTGCTCTACGTTACTAGTAAATGTACAGATTCTCATAGAATATGATCTAGGAATTCTAGAATTAAAATCTCATTTGAACAAAATTGAATCATAGTTCTTTCAAATGGCATCTGGTTCTGGGAGAGCCCACCGTCGCAATCACAAGGGTTACTATAATATTCTTGCTCTGTATAGTGTGAGACACCCTCAACCTCCCCCCCCCACCCATTCGTCTTCACCTCCCCCATTTGCATGGTATTGATGTTTGTTACTGCATGCTCTATGGCAGGAGGATGCTGAAGCAGCTGAAGAGGAAGAAAGAGCACACAAACGTGAGGAAGAGAGAGCCAAACGTGAGGCTGCTAAGAGAGTAAGTGTACAAATCATTGAGAAGTCCAGGACACTTGTTGGTCATATTGTTGAGCAAGTTGCAATCAATCATCTGAACTCAGGGCTCCAAATCACATTCACCAGGTCCATAGAACAAGGTCCTTAATTTGTGTTGTATAGCATATGAGCTTCAGATGTTTCATCACTTGTTCGTCAACTTCAATCATTGATATCTAGAGCATCTTTGTAATTTTCAATTTAAAGCGTTCTTGTTTTTGCTCTGAGCAGTGAGTTATCCAATTTCCAAAATTACTTTTTCCTTATCAGTGGTTGTCATCGTTTTATCAGTGCTAATTTTGATGAGATGGGTACTAATTCAAAGTATTTTTGATAATATCAGTATCACTAGGAATTTAGGATGTTGACATTATGACATGAAGCTTCACTAGGGTAAAGTTATGTTGGGTTATGATTTTCATGTGGAAGTACATTCTCATGAGTCCGATGTACAATACATTCAACTCTTGTTTTTGCATGTTATTGGTTGATCCCTTTGCTAATCCTTGAATTGCATGTGCATGCTATTTTTCCACAAATATCAAAGTATTGATCTGAAGAAGATGTTTATAAATGCAATACATCCGGATCATGAGGTGATATAATTCAACCAAATGATTCATCTCTCAAATAATGAATTGACGATATTTAAAAATATTATAGATATGTGTATAATAACATTACTATATAATATGCATATCAAAATATGTATAATCCAAAAGTCAAGGGTTCAATTACTAAAATAGTCAAATCAGTGTAGCACTGTATCATACTCTCCTTTGTATGGACTCAAAAAATCTAGATTTCTGATCAATCTGACATGAATTTATTATAAAGTTCCACTGAAGTTCTCTACTTTTTCAAACAATTTGGAACAACTCCAGACAGCTTTCTTTTGTCAGTTTTCAAATTTCACGAGTTCTACACTATTGCATACTTTGCATTCGAATATTTTATTCCATGTGATGTTATTGTAGGAAGAAGAAGAGCAACGTAGGAGAGAAGAGGAAGAGGAGCGTGAAAGACAGAAGAAGAAGGATGAGGTGAGTCATTATTTATTCACCCCTCTTAAATGACACACCACATATTTAATTTCAGAAAGATGAAACTAATGCACAACCAACTGTTCTACTCTTACGCAATTTAAAGTAGAATGTGTTCTTCATGTTCAAATGTTTAGCTTTAAAAGGTTGTGGGACAGTTGGTTGACCAATAAGTATTGTGTAACTGTATGACTAGAATGATATGTTGACAATGAATGATATGGGTGAATGAATGATTCTTGCTGGATGAAAGAGAGGGAGAAAGTTGCATCAAACTGTTGATGCATGAAATTACAGAAATAATACAGCTGGTGCATAATGGTTACTTTCAACCTGTAGACACAGATATCAAATGTCCTCACTAAGCTGCAACAAAAAAAGGAATTTTGGATTACAAAAGTGCATGGCACTAATAGACATGCCACCCTCCTTGTATATGGTATGCTTCAAGCAAGCAATGTTTTACATTTATAATTTCATCATAAATACTCATGGAATCACATATATTTTACTCGCATGAAACGGTGATGAAAATCAAGTAACAACATTACTATATTTTATTTAAAAAGAGGTTTCATCTGTCATTCAATATCTAACACATTTTAATTGCAATGCAATGCATGGTCAATTATGTTTAGGCAGTCATTACTATTATAGGTCAGTGCATCAAATGCTGTGATTCCTCAATAGTTTCCATTATTGTAAAAACCTTTTTGTGATCATATTAGATCTTCATATATCGACTCATGCTCGGAATGGAACGGATACACTGATTGCGCCTATGTGAACCCTATACTAGTGAAGTGTTATGATCCTAAGACATGTGATTACCCATAATGCATTATTTGTAGCAGAAGACACATCCCATCATTGCTCACTCTTTTTTGAACTATGTAATACATATGGTTAAACTAGGACACAAAAGATATCCCATAATGCATTAGTTGTAGCAGAAGATTTCCAATAATGCATATTGCAATGAACCGTGATGACCCAACCACAAATAGACTAGGAAACGATGATATGCTGAACGCGTAGTTTCATACATTATTTCACTTGAAAATCGGTAAGTCTGAAAAGACGCATGCTGTAAACATTTTCCCGCATGTAATATTAAAATAGAGCATGTCACAGTTTGTATTTGCCATCAGATAACAGAAAGTGTCCTCATCGTGGGTTCTTTGATATTCAAACAGAAAGTAGGAAACAAAATACTAAAAGCATGGTCAAATTTGTGTGTTATTAAGTGTGAATAGTCAACTTCAAAATGATCTTTCAAAATGTTCATTTAGTGGACATGAAAAGAAGAGTTTTTTGTCCATGTACATGTCTTTGTATGTAACATAGTATGTGTCTGGATGGAGTGTGCTTATAAGAGTGAACCATTAAAGTTAGATTAACATATTGAGTGTGGTTACAACCATACAGTAGGTTGAGGGACCGTGTCATCATATTGATTCACACCCAAAATATAATTAGATATAATCAGGGGGGGTGGGGTAAAGTATAGTACATTTTGTTTGCTTACATCTCATTTTGGAAGTGACTCTACTTGAGATCAATAAATTTTATTTTAGATGGGGTGGGGGTCACTCTGAGATATATAGTAATTACATTTTGGGATATCAAAATATGGACCCAGTCCCTTTGCATGATACATCTATGTGTTTTATAAAAAGTTCTGTAGATTTTAATTCTTTTATTACTGTTACACACAATATTACCCTTGAAGTTGTATTACTAAAGAAATACAGCTTTTGTAGATTCCAAGGTACATATTTGAATAATGGTGTTTAGTTCAATATTTTTTCATCCTGAGGGGCTTCTCCTTATGGAGACAATGGGATAACATTAATGGGCATTATATCACGAGGCAAAATATCTCAAGGCAATATCTCACTGGTCTATATTTCCCAAAGCAATATCTCGTGAGGCAATATTTCATGCGGCAATATTGTGTACTTACAATAAAAGTCATGTGTTCTACAGAAAAGTCAATTAATTTATATTTCTGTTTCAATACTTAGGGTGGAAACCAGGTATGTGTATTATCCTGCAGTATACCAACCTAACATATTTCGCACACAGATTAACCTCTCCTACTATGTACTCTCTATATTTTAATTTATCGTATGATCTGTAAAATGAAGCCCTCTGATTGGTCAGTTCTTGTGCTGTATCAATCTGTATTGCGACTGATATTGTCCCCATTGATCATCTCCGTAGCAACACAGAAAATGTTGGTACGGAGGGGACAATTTCAGTAGCAATACAGAAAATACAGAATATTTCATAGGAATTATCTCCTAAGTAAAATGTATTGGCCTAAGATCACACAATAAAATAAATATAGGATATATTCTGCTCTGGATATTCTGTATTGGCACTCGACTTCATCTCATAGCAACACAGAATTTCTTGAGCGGAATCATTCAATAACTTATAATGTCTTAATCACAACAGCTCAGAAATTTAACATATGTTCTGTGTAATACAGCAGTATGTTAAATATCTGTTGAAAATGTTGATTTCTGATCATTGCCATCTCGACATTTCAACCTTTGTCTTCAATTTGTTGTTAGAATTTTGATTAATGAACTGTAACATTTTGAGTCCATCTTGCAACTCTGCCATCTTTCCTCATGTCGCACTTCCTATTCAATATTATGACATTTCTCCTCACCAAAACCACTTTTACACGATTTCACATGTCATCATCGTCTAATCTGAGATTGAGTGGGATTTACATACTACATCCTCCTTTGATATTCCTCCAGTGAATCCTCATAATCATTCTATCCCCTAAAATGATTCAAACATTCTGATTCACACCTCTATTTATTCACTTTGGGAATACGGTGAAAGATAGATGTCAGATTCAGCCTTCCAGCTCATATAGCAGTGATGCAGTAATCTTATTCAGTATTTTGGATTTGTAGTTTGTAGCAGTCCAGATAAAATGATGTCTATATATAATGTTGCGATGAAATATTTTTGTGATACATGTTCTTGAGAGGTGTTTTATTTCTAATTTGCATGCATAGAAGTGGTTCGCTTGTGTTGTATATTTGTATATGTATACATGTATATGTTTGTCTTATAATCAAGTACATTACTATAAGTTTATAAACACATTTCTGTGTTGCAATCTCATTTGAAAGTATACATTTCTTAGCAATGATTTTGACTTTTTAACTCGGTATATGAAAATTATATTTAATCATAATTCTTTTATCCTAATAATTATTGAAATAATGCACATTTAATTAGATCTCATATATTTTGAACAGAATAACCCTAAAACTTTGAACATACTTTGAGTATCAAAAATACTGCCCCGAGAATTAAATTAATTTACCTAATTAACCTAAGGTCAACTATGTCATCAAAAAGCACCAAGAGCATTGATTGCAATACACATAAACCCCCCTAGCAAATTCATAATTCAGTAAAATCAAAATCAGACATTATAACAAGCTTTCTAATACTACTCAGTTCAAAATGATGTGCATTGTATCAACCTGAATTCAATCTGGAGAATCTATTGCAAAGACCTGCATCTAGGAGATTCTAAGTGTAGTGTATTTTACAGGCCAAACGTGCAGCTGATGAGGAGGCTAAAAAGAAGAAACGCGCCCCTGGTACCAAGAGGAAAGGTCTCGGTGGACTTTCACCAGAGAAAAAGAAATTACTCAAAGTGAGTGAATTTGTACAATCCCAAAAATGTTGATAATTTTCTCACAGGGGCAATGTCTCTATATGATTACATATGGTTAAATAATATTCAAAGAGAACTCATTCTATAATTGAGCATTACTTGACATAGCCACAGAGATCGCATCCTGCAATTTATATCCATTTTAATCAGTATGCAATGAGAAAACTGTATTTACATTTACGAAGTTAGAAGAGCTGGGGTCACATTTAATTGATTTGTAAAAAGTCATGTACATTTGTATAAATTAAAGTTAGTTATTGATTTTTTAACATACTGATAATTTAATCTTGTATTTTCAAATGTCAGCTTGTTACTTTTGCAAACGTGAATATTTATTACATGTTTCATGTAATATTAATTTATGCTAATTGCATGATGAGTCTGTATGCGAGAAAATCTAATGTTATGGCATGTAACATATCATACACAGTTTAGTACAGTCAATCATAAGGTTTGCTACCTTTGTTACTAACAGATTTTTAAAACTGACGAATTCAAAGATTGTTCCAGACAAGATTCACATTTATGGATTATAACAGTGTTTTGCATTTATTCAACCCGTAGTCTTGTTTAACGTAACTTGTTTTTAAAACTAGTCACTTGTATAATTTATTATTTATTATTACTTACTAAATCAACTGACTATTATTAAATAGCATGTTTTTCAATTTACACAAGTGAATGCCTTGCATGAATGAATGCATTGTGACATTGCAGAAACTAATCATGGAGCGTGCTCTAGATGACCTCAAACAGGAGGAAGTTGAACGCGCCAATGAAAAGAAACAAATCTTAGAACAACGTATGGGAAGGTTAGATCTTGAGGGAAACACCCAGGGTAAGATCTAAGTGGCAAACTAACTCCAAGTCATGGGCAGAAGATGTATTGTATTGTTAGTCATCAATAATGCAAAGTTGTGATGCTGAATAACTCTGTAGGAGACCACAATGGGAAATCATTGCCAACTCAGAAAAGTTTGATTTTGTTATGGAAATAATGTTACATTGTTGGACCCTATAGAGTTCTACAACATCACAGCTCTATGAACATATAGGAACTTAATCACCCACAACCTGATACATCTTCTGCACCTATGTACTGAGAGACTCCTCAATTATTGGACAATAATACAAACTAACACTTTCAATAGATTGTAGCTAAGAGATGTGTGTCCTTGTTTTAGATGGGATTATGAAATGAGATCCCGGAGCATGTCAAAATAAGGGCCATTTTTCCATTGATTTTCAGTAGGTGATAGAGCAGATCAATGGACAGAATTGAATCTTTGTGTATAGTAAATGTTATGTTCTGCCTTGTTGAGTGTGATGTTAACACTAACATGACTATATTAACCATCAATATTCATGTCCCAATTTAGAAATAGCCATTTATATTATATTTTATTTGTATAGCAACTCATAATGCAAAAAGCTTCTGAAGCATTGAGACAGGAAGCTACTCTAAAAGCTAAAGAGCGAGATAGAATCATTAAAGACCTTATGGGAGATCTCAACCTTGATGGCTTTACTCAGTGTAAGTTAAAGTGCATGTTAAATGGAAAAAATCATTCAAATATTATTCGATGCATTCAGCTTTGCATTGTCTTTCTTGTTTGACATTTTTGTTTTTTATTATTTATTTAAATCATATTTTTTTTAAATAATAACTTTATTTTCATATTCTGATATTTATATACATATACAAGAGCACGTGGTTTTATAGCACATGCACATGGTATGCAACTTCTCTCAAAATTCTCTTCAGAATTAACCGGAATGTGAACTTTATCCACTCATACTTTTGTATTATCATTTAGCATGCACTGAAAACTTATGTTTGAATGCTTGTTTATGTTATTTAGAAATGTAGTTTCTTTTTAGCTTGATCACAGATGATATTTGAAGAGACTCCAAGCATGATAGAGCCAGTCAGTTAGTTAGTCTATGATACAGTCAGTCACATATTGTCCCATCAACAACTAAACCAAACTAAACTAAATCTAAACATCACTGTTACCTAACCAACAACAGAACAAATCAAGCATGTTTTTTGTTCATTTTCTTTCTCTTTGGCATTTTGATGTACAGTGGATCAGTTATCATAATACAATAAGGATCATCAAGTGGTGTATCAACTTAACTTTTATGAGATCTTGACAAATAAGGAGTTTGCTGAATTTATTTGTTTTTATCTTTGTAAGTCATGACAGCCCTATATCCATGACACACCACATGAATCTTTTTTGTTCCTGTTGCAGCCCAACTGGAAGCCAAGGTGAAGGAACTGCATGCAAAGTTAGTTGGACTCGAAGAAGAAAAATATGATTGGGAAGTTAAGATACGCAAGCAAGACTTTGAGATTAATGAACTTACCATAAAAGTCAATGATATAAAGGGTAAATTGTAAGTATAATTTTATTTAGTATTTCGTAGATTTAATAGTTGTATATTTATGATTCTTAAATCATTTTAAACTGAATTTATTTCCATGCAGTCAAAAGATTGAATTTTGTGCTTTATTATTTTTAGCGTGAAACCTGTGTTGAAAAAAGTATCAAAAACAGAAAGCAAGTAAGTACTTAAATAAATCACTAATTTTACTTTTCAATAATAATATTTTCAATAAAAACCAATAGCTATCAAGTTATCATTAGAATTAGATTTAATATTTGTAAAATAGAAGTTCATGATCAATCAATCAATTATCAATTTCCATTGCAGATTAGCTAAGTTTGAAAAGAAAATGAATGTGAAAAAATCTGGTTTCCGTGATGCACTAAAATCAACGGGACAGAGCAAATATGCAGTTGAGGAAGAGGACAAGGTATTTCTTCATTCTATTTTATATATCAATATTTTGGTAATACGTACAAAGATATACTTTGATATACACTGTACAATGAATCTCCATTCAGACCTCAGAGATAATTTATGAGTTAGTAATTCACTCATATTTATAAGGACATTGAGCAATAAGTCATATTATAATTCCTATATACATAAAGTTCAAGCTTTTGCGATGATCTTTTCATATATATCTCTTATGTTCAATATGATATGGTTGTGAAACTTTATACTAATTTCCCATCTTTTGTTGTAGTCACACAAAGCCCCAGACTGGCGCAATGAGCTCAAGGACAAAGATGCAGGGGATGATGATGCAATTGAGGCTGAGAGTTGAGCAAATTAGCTCCATCTATAGGTTGTTGCCATGGCAGCAACATTGTCACATGACACAGTTCAACAACTTAAATGCATGACCATATTAGGATACAGTGACCATTTTTCAAAACCGTACAATTTTGGAAAATGCTCATGTCTTCCAGTAAATGGTATTTAATCATTCTGTGTCAACTTAAATAGAGGACCCACAATTGTGGACTAATCCTTTGATGGTTATGTGTTAGAAAAGGATAAGGAGCGGCAAACAGATGCAATATTATTGTATAGCCTTTGATATAAAACTTTTGATATGAATCTACAGATATTTAAAAGCTGTGTAGCCGGAAATATACTCATAAGGAATTGATCGTGAAAAGTTGTAAAATGTTACTGCCCACACTTTCGGGAAAGAAATGTTGTAATTGATGAAATATTATTACAATCATGAGATTTAATTACAGACTTGAAATTAACTTATTAAATGCTCCAGAGACTTTTTACAGTTGTCTTTCAAAAAATGTCTACATTATTATAGTAACCAAGAGAAAAACATGATGAATGTAAATTTTAGTAGAAATGTAAAGGTATATCACATTTATGTAAGAAATGTGTATAATACATGTGGCTTAGCAGCAGTCTAATAGTTAATATAGATTACCATAGTAACCATGGTATATTGCCATAGCTACACATATTGTGTTGCTAAGGCTACCAAGAGTCATGACAAGCTTCCAAAGAGACACCAGTATGTGTTCATGGAGGAGTTGAAAACTAGGTCATGATGCGAAAGATTTGTTATTTGTATCATTATTCATTGTATAATCCTAACTTATGTAGATAAACTATACAATACATTGTCTGTATTTTATGAATATCTTAGCTATCAACTTAGAAGGATAGTTCAGCTTATATATATAATTCACATAACAAAGCGATGAACAGCTTTATTTGGTCTTCAATGTCCGAATAGATTTTATTACATGTACTTTGTTTCTGTATATAATGTAATTTTTAAGTTTTTACTGTTAGTTTTTTGTTAAGGCTTTAAATAATGGGGCTGTCTAGTCGGGAGTATGCACTGCCTTGTAAACCCCATTGTTGTTTTGGCATGTTTTATATTGAGTGCTCATTATTGGTTGCTATGGGGAGATGATGTCACTTGTGATGTCCAAGTGCTGTCTATTCAATTTCCATTGTTTGTGTTAAGGTTTACCATTTTCAAGATTCAGTTGTTTTTATTCTCTTGTTGCCCAACTTTGAAGCAAGATGATCTGAAAACATGATACCCCCTTCTCCTTTGGTAATATTGGCATTGAACAATGATAAGTGATATAACAGAAACAAGGGTATGTCATAAAGATTTCAAAATTGAAGTGCAGACCAGTTTCCATGTTACTATGAGCCTTGTTAAATGCTGTTTTTTCGTTGTTGTAAGAATCTTTACAGATGTTGAATCTTGACAGACACTGGTTGTAGTATACATGTATAGCATACTGTCTCATTATTTTGTGTCATTGTTCTTGATCAGTACCTCTGGATGTATTACCTTTTGGTCAGTTTTTGTTGTGATTGTAAGTCACAATTTCTAGAAAGCCATTTTCTGTTCTTAGATGAACTATGAATACGAATAAACCATAAGCTATGACCAGGCAAAAAATAAACCCCCGTCTCTCTCCTGCTTGATTGAATACGTTTTCTTAATTTAAGATATGTCAGTGGGTTCCGGTAATAAGAGCTAATTCAAAACTCATCAAGTCTTGTATCAAGTCTCTGTTTCTTCCTATCCTTTATATGTCATGTAGTGTTAGAGGGGAAGACTACACAAGGGCTTTATGCAAGACTTGTCAAACATTTCAGTTAAAATATGTGGAAAAATGTTGAAATTATTTTCACCTTATTGGGGTAAATAACTGTATGGTGTGTTAATGCACTCTACTTTCTGTAGAACCTCATCGTGAAAGGCATTGATATTCATACAATTTTCAAGATTTTGTCCCTACCTATACTGATTGTGCCCATTTTCCCTCTCGAATCTAAATATTAGGAGCCAGGGGCCCATTTCTTCAAATATCATAAATGCAGATCCACAGTCCCATTTATTTTGCAATAATTCTATAAATCTGGAAAAGAATGATTGATATGTGGATCCTTAACATTAAGATTTTTGGAGAAATTAGCCGCAGACAGTTGGTCTCAAAATGATTTTATTTTGCATAACACATTATTATACTGCTGTGTCAATTGTATGCAATATACATATATTATTTTCAACCATAACAAGCGAATAAAAGATTGTGTTAACTTACTGGTTATTTTGTGAGCTTTTATCCTTATTATGATGGGTGTGTCACATAAGAGAAGTCACAGTACAGTATAACTTGTCTTAGTCGAACAGTTGTACAATGGGAACTTTTCAGCTTAAGCTTCTTGGAATGGAAATTAACCCTTAATGTGTTAAAGAAATGATTCAATGTCGATTTGATTTGAGACCTTCTTTATTCTGGGTAGTCAACTGTTTAAGGGGTGTTCAACATTTCAGGTTTTACTGTACTACAGACTTGCATTGCTTAGGTGCATGTTCGACCATGCATGCTTTGTATTTATCCAAACCTGTTTAACACAGAGTGTCTATTAATGCATGTTGTTATTGGATCTGCACCATTATAAATCTAAATTTTGTTTTTTATTTAATATTATAATAATATATAACAATAATTTTGTTTTGAATAATATTGATCTGAATCATATTTACTTTTCACGAAATGGTTTTTAGATTTGGGGTAGCGGGTAACTTAGGTTTCATATTTGGAAAATTACAACCTTTTTATCAGGGAACATGTTAACACTACTGTATGTGTAATAATGTACACTATTTGTGAAGGCATAGAGTTCATTAGACTCATTTGGGATAATTTATTACTTCCCATCCTTTATAACATTCAAAAAGGTTGTTCACATATAACCTATTGACTAAACTACTTTCTTATGAAGAAAGAACCTTTTCTTGTTTTTACTCTGAATTACTGTGAACCTTTTCTTGTTTTTACTCTGAATTACTGTGAACCTTTTCTTGTTTTTACTCTGAATTACCTGTCAGTGTCTTGTATATGAGAACTGTCTGAATTCTGTTACAACATGTACCAAATTGCAATACATTCTAATAACAGTTAGTTACACAACCTTGTAGAATTATGAAAGTGAGGCTTAGTGGCTCATCTTTCCAAGATGGCCGCCTCATGGGTCTATAAAAGGAGTTTATATCTAGTTAAGTTAGGTTGTGGGATGTATTATAACAGACAGAACAGGTTCAAACACATGTCAGAATGTTGTGGGCTTGAGCTAAGTAAACTTGTGTTTAACTGTACATTGTGGTATTCTATGCATAGCTGTCTATTATTAAGGGAAGCACTCATACATGCTATAGGCTGCTTAAGTGCATACCATTTGATCTTTTTAAATAGCATAACTTAAGCTCATTAACTAACATCTAAATATTTATGCAGAAAATGCCTTCAGTGAATCTATTTGAGCCTGTAAATATCGGAACCGTGAAGTTAAAAGGAATCAAAATAATTGAAAAATTACCATTATCCATATCTTGAAGAGTATATGTATTTGCTATTGAAGGCCCGTGTAAAGTATGATATTTATCTAGATTCTATGGAATCTTAAAAATTGTAATTGAAGTCAGGCATGTATCTAAGTTATAAAATCTCTCCAAAAATGTAGTGATAATATTTTTATGTAACCAGTTTCATAAATATGCTTCAATTATTTACAAGAACCATGTAACACGGGCCAGATAACTTTTACGCCAACTGATGCTATGGTTCATATCATCTTTATAAAGCTGCTGAATGAGTGTTGTAAAAGGGGGTGTAAAATAAGCAATATTTCAGAAGATTTTGAGATAGTTACATCCCCCCCCCCCGATAAGCTGCATATCTAAAAGCTATAAATTCTGACTAAAGAAATATCTTGTTTGTAAACTGGTGTTTAGATATGAAGCCTTCGGGGAGGGGGAACTCAAGTTTAGGATTACACTGAAACATGGACTTCCAAAAATCATGACTGAAAGCATTATTTTTGTATCAAGAAATCTTTGAAGATCATGTTAAAACTTTTGTTTGCCTCAGAACCAATTTTCTTCATATGACATAAGATATCTAAGAGTTTAATGTGAAAGGTATTGAAATTGGATAAATTAAGGAAATCTTTGGATTATGAGTATAATTAGCCTATCCATATTATTATATGATAAAGATAATCCTCAATTCATCTTTTGATTATTACCAGTGATCAGTAACTCTAGACAACATCTTTAAATCTCAAAGATTATCAATTAATTGCTTCAACAATTTCACCTTCTCCAGGGACATCCTCAAGAATATCCACTTACAGTTGCATTGCTATTCTTGTAGACAGGGCCTTATGAATGTTTATTGTCATAGGCTTACACCCCTAGGTAGATAGGCTGTGTGGGATTTTTGATGGATTTGTTACTAATTTAGGCCAGCCTACCAAGAAACTTTGTGTTCCGTTCACTCTACTTTTTGAAGACGCCATTTTTCGGGATTAAACGCTTTGAGGTAATGTACTATTATTTTCAACCCTTTATGTTTTCTGTTGTGAATTTGATCAATTGTGACTGTTAAAATTGCTAAAATGTTTTCAGTATTGTTTATAGCTTAGTTTAATCAATTTAGAATTCATTTAATGTATGTAAATGTGATTATTTACATGTTATTTGTATACATGTTCTGCAGTATATGTTTTATATGATGGTTATAATGAGAGCCCTTGCGATAGACCATGTTAGCATATTAGTTGTTTTGAAAATGTATAATAATTTAAATATCATCCACTGTATTTCATTATGTACCCTTTGCTGTTTAATTCTTCCAATATTTTGATCTCTATTTTGTCTCCCCTACCCTGAACCACCCCTCCCCCTCTTTCATAAATTTTTGGTACCAGAGAGATCAAATAATCATGAGTTCAATTAGCAACATGTTTTTTTTACTTGTTGCCCTTTGTGCTTTGTTTTATCAATGGTTGATTAAAGATGAAGTCATTTTGGTTGAAAGGGAAAACACTTCATGGCTGTACCATGAAATTCCTGATTAAAATCGTAAAATAACAATTTGGTAACCCTGTACCTTTTGGATATTGTTTGATATGTGGGCTTGAGTGGTTATAGCAGAAACCACTGAATCCATTTCAACCCAACAGATAATTTTCTGTAAAAGCATATAGGCAGGTAAAGGTATATCACTGACCTTAAAGATTGGCAACGGCAGGTGAGAATAGCATACATGTTCAATGCTATTAAAGTTCATGCTAATATTTCATAAATACCTCCATAAAATTTCAATGAAGTTCATGATTGCTTGGTATTTCAGTACAATTTACAGTTTGATGTTCATGACTATGTATTTTATTTCGTTCACTTTCTACCCATTTCTGATGTATTTCACATTTAAAATATCGATGCTCTGGAATTTATCTTAGGGGTTTACATGTTATACCAGGTGGCATTGCAGATCCATTATGACTGGCATTTCTTGCCTCAAGTGGAATGAATTGAGGGATAAACTAGAATCTTGAGCCAAGTTGAAGTAGAATAGAGTGTTTCATCTCGTCCTTTCATGAAACTCATGGAAATTCATTTCATCTTTCGAATTCTCATTCAGCATTTCCAAATGATGTTACTTCTGTTTTTAAATGGGACTTAGAAATAGATTTGAGAGTTGGGTAGGGGGCGGGGGTTGCCAAAAACTTGATGTAAGACAGTGTTGTTACTGGATATCCTAGCACTTGGAATTTATTGTAGTGCTGGAAATAAGAGACCTCTATCATATATGTACTTTCAAATACTGTTCATATCCCCATGAAAAGGGTTTCATTCAATGGTTTGCATTATTCAATGAGCATGCCCCTTGCTTTTAGGGATGTCTGGTCACGATGCTCTGACACTTGGGTTATCGTATCAGCAGGTTGAAGATGTTCTCTAGGCATTTAGCATCATCAATGAGCTCTCCATTGGTAATTTCTTACCTTCTAAGACGTCACAGGTATCATGTGGTAACGGAAGTCTTGAAATATGATTGTAGTATATCTTTGAAACTGTCAAGAGAGTTGGAGTCTTAGATTAAATCTGCTGCAATTTGGAAAAAATAGTCATACCTTCACTCTTTAACCCCCTCCCCATCCTATCCATTAGAGAGAGAAAATATAGAGACAGTGTTTTTAAGTAAATTAGAATTCATTTCCATAGATGTATAATTTCCAATATTATATTTTTACATGATTGCAATGAATTCCTTGCATTAGTATGGAAGAAGAAAGGAGAATAAATTAGATCCCCCCCCCCGTCTATTGCCTCTTCTCTCCCTTCATCTTGAATATCTCAGCTGACTGTCTATTTATACCAGTCACTTGATACAAGGCATAACTTCAGGTCATTACTTGAACAAATAAATTACATGGCTTACTTTGTAGCATCCCCAAAATAGCTATCTGTTTAGCTTCCCTATGAAATAGAGATTATCTCTGTCTAAGCCCTTAGATGTACAGTATTAGGTCCTCCTTAGATCAGAGTGGGTGTACCTTACTATCATCTTATTCTATCTAACGGGTGAGGCCTGCATGGGAATTCAGTTAAGAAATTCATAGAGAACCATGTTTTGTGTTATATTGTATGTTTCATATTATCCATTTAAAAATGCCAAATCTGATGACAGAAACATGGCACACTTGGGAATGGTATCATTTCATATCATCTTGGATTTCAGTTTGAGAGGTTTTTTGTTGTAAGACAATATAAAATCATTTTCCTCAGAAATAATTTTCTAGTGAATAGATTTTGTTCAACCTATGAACTTCAATAATCAATGTACAGAAAAGCTTGAGGTTTTGCTATTTTGAAAATGTTGATTATTTAGGAGTTTTGCAATTCTTGTCATACTAACAGTCAAGAATCAAGCCAATAGTTATATAGTCCAACATTCAATTACAAGGCCAACTGAGGATAACATAGTTTGCCACACAGCTGATAATACTCAGTTGAGACTATGTTACCTGATACACTCACTGACTTGATGGTATATATCCAGGTTGAACTTGCACATGTCAGTATGAGTAGTACAGAAATAGTGAGTTCCACCCCATTTTACCCATTGCAAGACCTCAAATGCATTACTACTCTTCAGTTTCATATTCAGAAAATCAGACACTACATTTTCTACTTATATGCTTATAAGTAGCTGATAATCACAAATCACATTTAGATGCTTATAAAATAGTATGAAACTGTATATCTTTAAAAATCTTACTGGCATCAAAACTAAGAAATCATTATTAATAGCCAGAGGGAACTGCTACTGGCTGGTGGCATTCAGGGTAATCTCAGTTATAAACCTTGACTGTTTCTGTATGTTTGTGTTTTGAAACTTGATCTTATTGGCTCACTTCCTCTGTTAGTGTCTGATGGATCATGGCAGAGTGACACATGTGCACTCCTAAAATAATTTCTTGGCTCAGGAAGGTTTAATTAATTATTAAGGTCACTCGGTACATGATGCTCATATTACCAAGGTTTTTTGTTTTTAGACCTTTTATTCTAGCTCGATTTACTGCAATCTTGAGAAAACACAAATTACAACATTTCTTAACAACATTACTAAATCAAAAAATAATTCTTGAAATGCTAAACAAGGCAGCATTTATATTTTATTCAAATGGATAATACTATAGCTTAAAGATCTGACTCTGGTATTCCGATACTTGTGTGGTTTGGAAATTGCAGTATATTGAAGTTGTTCTTCAGTCTGTTTCAAATTGGTTAAGGTTTGTTTAGGTAATGATGGTAATGTTCACAGCATGTTGTGTAGACAATATTGCTCAACATGGAATTCTTATCCCTTTACTCATTTCCATTATTCATTCAACAAATGTATAACTTGTACATTAGGTTTATCTATTTAAGAATGAATGCAATCTTTTTTATTTATTACTTGAATCAGTGTAGAAATGAATCAAAACTGACCAATGGATTAACTGAAGGGTTAAATCAAACCATTTGGGATCCTCAATCCTCTGAACAACAGCAGTTGTTAGGCAAATATTTCTCCAAACATCATCCACAATATTTCAGACAGCTAACTGCTAAAAATAGGCAACCAAAATAGTTCACTCTGGTTCACCACATCTTATCAGTGTTCCATCAGGGGGCTCTCATTTGCACCAACATTTTTCTCACTTTTCACATTTTCAGTTTTTCACTAACATCTTTGGATTATTTTCCAGTGGAGACCTGTAAAGATCAGCCAGCATGGGTGAAGTAAGGTAAGACATATTTTGAGAGTTCATGATGAAGTAATAATTGTTAAGACATTGTTAAAAGCAGATTTAAGTTCATCAATTGCTATAAATCAAAATGAATGTGATGTTGCATTGGTAAGAAAGTACATGTGGTAAACTGGTAAAAATTGAAACGCCTTTACGATTGTAAATAAATTCATATGAAGTAATATTGTATATGACTTGTATCAAAATGTAATACAATATTAATTTTTTTGTCTGAATATGAAATGAATCCTTCATACTTACACGCTATAATATTCTTAGATTAGTATGTTCTGATATTTAAATACCATTCAAATATTTATTTATTTATTTTCAGTATGAAGGTTGATCCTTTGGCCAAGATCATGAAGTTCCGAATGATTATATACTCAGATGAATACAGATGGATTAAATAAAAGATCAAAGATGATGAAATCTGGATTACCTATGTTGTACTTGAATGTGTATAAACAAGCTAATTCATCACAGAATGTGATTGTATGAATGTAGTTGAAATTCCAACATGGATGACGTCTGAAGGAAAATGGTTGCTATAGCAACTACATTATGGGAAATGGGTCATATTTCTTGTGGATTATGTCAAGGAATAACAACAACCAAGATGTTCTACATCCCTATTCCTTATAAGGATCAAATTTATAAAATGGGATTAAAGCATGTGGATTAAATTACTAACATTGTGGATGCAATGCATCCTAACATTTTTAAGTTGGATCAACTCCCAATGTTACACCCCCCCCCCCCCATGATTCCACCCATCTCTTATATAATGGGAAATGGAATATGGTTCTATCAGAATACCATTTAGTATTAATTTGAATCTGTTCAAATGGGAGGGGGCTCAGAATTCATGGGCCAGATTGGCAGCTGTTTTGAATAATCTCTTGCCATGTTAATTGAGGTTTAGAATTATGGACAATTTATGCCAAAATGATAAAAAATGAATTTAAAATTGTAAAAATGATTTGTTGGTGCCATCTTAAGGTCATGCCTAAGTTTTGAGGACAAGGTCAGTTTTACATTGAAATATTGGTATGAATTGTGGGGTTACAGGGTTAATATATTTTACTGACTTAGCTACAGATTTACTCAGTTATGCATGGTTTCATTTGAATATAAGTTTCTTAAGTGTTGGATATATATTCATGTGGATATGAGTTAATTCAATTGGATACAGATTTAGTTAGATATGGTATCATATGGCTTGATATGCACAATTCAGCGAGATATGTGTTCAGTTTGATATGGGTTCAGTGGGATATGAGTTCAGCTTAATATGGGTTTAAGTTGATATGGGTTCTGTGGAATAAATGTTTGTTTGAATATGGGTTCAGTTGAATATGTGTTCAGTTTGATATGGCTTCAGTAGGATAAGTGTTTGTTTGGATATGTGTTCATAGATGTTGGTTAAGGGGGATGTGTTCAATGCCATTCAGTCAAGTCGGGTTGGAAAATGTAGGTTTTGTTCGGTATAAATATATAAAGTTGGAAATGGCCTCAAGCAGGCAATTGCAATAATAGCTCATGTATTCACATGTAAGGAATTTCGCCTAACTGTCTAGCAGCTCTGGCAGCTGCTTTTGCCTTAATATTTACCTTGCCAAGTAACATTTTTCCCTTCATACTCAATCAATCTCTCATAAATCAGGTAATTGTATGTTAGAAAATACAGGATGTTTTCTTCTTTGGGTGTAATTGTGCAGTCTGGCACTTTCTACTTAAAAGATGTTCTCCTACATGAAGGATGGGCTGTGGTATCTTTTTTTTAAACTATGTTTTTCTTTAGCTGTCTGAATGCATTTTCCTGCCTTATATTAGGTTAACATCAACAGCGCTTGCCATCTGGTAAATTTACTGAAGCAGTTGCCTTGGTAACCAAGCTTTTCCTTCAGTTTATTTAACAATTATTTAATGGAAGAAGTTCCTTTTTGGTTACAAGTCAATATTAATGTACTACACATAATACAACTTAGCTGTGTGTTATCCTGTTGTCATGGCTGATGATGGTTTCTATGGCAACCAATCCAAACTCCAAAGGTGCTTGCTATTACTTTGCATGGTTACTACATGTAGAATTACAATGACAGGTAAGATATCATCAAGTGCTCATATAAGTGCCATAAATTCAGTTGTCAGGCCATTTCCATATGGTCTTAAAAACTCCCGAAAATTCAAAGTCTCCTCCCATTTATATATGATTATACTCCAAACTGAAAGGAATAAACAGTTTTTGCATGGTTTTACTCATGATTATCAAGGAAACTTGACATTATCATGCCTGCCAGAAACTTAGGGATATACAGGCATACATTTGAATATCATCATGGGCTATCTTGAAAATCCATTCTCATATATCAATTTTAGGTATCATCAGATTGATATTTTCAATACATAAATGTAATGATGTTATAAAAGGTTGGCTGTAATGGTTTTGAGCAGAATGTGAGAGAGTAAGATGTGTGAGCAAACTTTGAGTGTGTGAAATATGTTGATAAATAGAATAATATATGTATATTATACATTGCATGTATATTCATTGAGAATTTTATGCACATATAGTCATATACCTTATCTGCGGTATTATTATCTACATACTATTTTTTCTTTATATATCATTCACTAAATGCATTTAAAACATGTAATTATAGAGAATAGCAACCAAAACGAAATGTGAATACTACTCATATGCAATGTTAATTGTATGATTTATTTGTACTAATGCCCTGGAGCCAAATGTACAACCAAATCATACTATTCTTGTTTTGATAATCATTATACAATGGATGTTTCCTACTGTTACAGAAGCCAAAGAAGAGGGGAGGTTTGGGGGGCTTGTCCCCAGAGAAGAAGAAGAAGTTGAAGGAGCTGATCATGCAGAAGGCTGCCCAGGCCCTCAGGGAAGAACAAGAGAAGAAGATGAAAGAAAGAGGGGATACCATCAAGAAGAGGGCAGGCACACTGGACCTGGCCGGACTTGACCAAGGTGTGTACAGGGTGTCAGTTATATACAGTATCTCCTTATCTTTAATACAATACTGTACATGTATATAAAAGAGTAATATGATTAGGACCAAAGTCACAATTCCATTCGCCTAGTGTGACTGCAGTGCTCTTTTCTAATTGGTTGAATGATAAACGTTGGGCAGTGTGTTTGCCAATGGGCAGGGTTCCCCATATTTAAACACTAAATGTATTCCTAATTCACTTGCAGCTGGACTACAGAAGAAATGCAAGGAACTCCAACAAAAGTATGCTGCCCTTGAAGAGGAAAAATATGATCTAGAAATGAAAGTCAGGAAAGGAGAAACTGAAGTAAGCATAATCTTTTGTTTTGAAGCATGAAATTCAGAAAAAGAGACATTCTCTCAGAGACTCCTGGCATCAAGATTTGAGAGCTTCTTTATCTTTGTCAAACTTCATTATATTAAACTCCCTCTTTTTGAAAATTTTCCCAATGTTAATCCAATTTAATCTCGGATGGTGAATTTTCTCTTTCAAAAAATATTCCCTCTCAATTGCAAAATTAATGAACAGGTCACATGCACTCAAACACACCCATTTAAAGTATTACTTGCAGAATTTAGTTGACATTTTAATATTTTGTATGGTCTGAAGAGGTTTGATGGGAAAACACATAGGGAAAGCTCATGTTATGTTGAAATGTTACAAAACATTAAAGAAGTTTAATGATTTTCTAATGATTGTTTTTCTTTTCAGTTGAATGAACTAACAAACAAAACATATGAAGTCAAGGGAAAATTGTAAGTATGCTAAACTGGAGAAAATATGAATTTTAATCTTTCACATTACGGTATATTCAGAGTCTAATGAGTTATTTTGAAGTACAGTAAAACTTGTATATCAGAACACCTCTCTAATCTGAGCACCTCTCATTGTGAATGGTTTTTTGGGGACAACTTTTGAATCTTTCAATGTGAACACCTGTCAATCCAAACACTTGGCTGGTTCCAGTGGCTTTGGATCAGACAGGTTTTCAATATTGCTAGATGTGTATTCCTAGCTCATGGGGATCTTTTGAAATTGAACAATTGGGAAAGATTCTATTCGTTACACTCAGAAACTTAATATATCCATTGATTTCAATTGTACTTAAAAAGGAATTTTTATTGTTCTCCCTAGACCATGTGATTTACGCTGCTGTCAGATATAATTTCCAATTTTAGGTTTTAGGTTTATTTTAGTTTTATTTACAGTAAAACCTGTCTTAATGAAACCTCTCTCTAGTGAACACATGTCCCTAGTGGATACCCTTCCCCACACATATTCCACTGACTTCTGTATAAATTACCCTTTGTTTTTTCTTGGCAAAAAAATGTTCAGTATACACAGGTTTTACTGTATACTACCACATGTATTTCCTTTTCTGTTTCCTTTTACAATGTTATATTTATGCATTCATTTATTTTCCAGCATCAAGCCCATGCTCAAGAAGGTCAACAAGACAGAATTGAAGTGAGTATTGAACATTTTCTATTTAGTAACAGCAATTTCAAGTTCCATATAGCATTAATGAGGCATTAATGAGTATTGTGAAAGGCCATCTAGTTGATAACCTTGTAACATACGAACAGCAGGAATAATTTTCATGTATGAACATTTTAAATTTTATTTACCAGGATTTATTACATCTCAATATTCTTGATTAAGCCCTTTAAATTGATATTATTCATGATATGAGCCTTTAAGTAATATTTCCACTTTCTTTGAATGAGCTGATCCTTAATGAATATACCATGTGATATTCCAGAATGAAGAAGTTCAAGAAGGCCCAAGAATAGATATGGAGTTAAGTCAGCGATTACATCTTATGGACAATATAGGGCACAACAGTGGCGCTTTCATCTCACAATCACTATAAAGGACCCCTTGGATACAACATTAACGCTCAAAGCGGCATGGCGTCAGGATGAGCAAGCATTACATCAGTCTGTTATCTTAATGCAAATGAGGTTTATATAAATTGTGCCGATTTAGCTGCCCGCTGCATTATGGGATGGATGATATAGTGACTTGTACCCTTGAGTGCGAATACAGGTTTCCAAATGTTTAATACGTAACTAAGGGGCCCTAATTGTGGATTATTACATTTCATTTTGTTATCCCAAAAAAATTGGAGGACAGAAAAGCGCATTGGATGGAACATGGATGAGTGTAGAACTGTTCGGACTAATAGTTTTCTTGGCAATAGTGAATAGCTGACGGACTATTTCTATTTCAATATAGTTTCTTGAATTTTTAATTTATTTCCTCCATCTTTCTGAGAGAAGTGTAAGTCTCCCAAGAATGACTGGTATAACAAAAAAGACAGATTACAGCCGTATTACTCCACCCCACAAAGTAATACCGCACCGGAGGCTTAATTTAATTGAATGGGACCACTTTTGTTCCCAGAGTTGTATGGCATTGTGAAACAACATTCCTATGACATCTTTGGTTACATTAAGCCTCCTTGCATATCTGTCATTTTTCGACTACTTGTCAGCATTTGATAGGATTAACCCACTAGAGAATATAGTCCCTTTTGTGAATATAGTCCCGGTCTCCCGGACCATTATATATAGCTCTAGTCACATGCAAATACCTTTGTAGCATCTTAGTATCCTAAATATAGATAGAACCTTGAGTGCAATATCTTGTAAATATTACTTCATGTATGTATTATAATCGTTTGTATTTATGTAAAAGTATTTATGTCCGTTGGTTCAATGAAATGTTGACGTGTGAAATTTTGGCAGATGCTTACGGTAGACATTTTGTTACAAGGGAGGTCATTGTAAAAATAAATAAAATGAAATGTTCATGTCAAGTTCAAAAGAAAAACAATTGTTATGTTTTGTTATTATAAAGTGTACATATAAGGGTTATGTATTGGGAGGTTTAGATATAGAATTTATCCTGATGGAAGTAAATATCTCCCAAAGATTGAGCAAGATATATACATAAGGGTTATGTACTGGGAGGTTTTGGATATGGAGTTTATCCAGAGTGAGATATGCATATCTACCTGAGGGACCGAAGGTAGATGTGCATATCTCACGAGGAATGAACCCAATATCCAAACCGACCGTACATTACTGCTTTATCCTATACCAAGTAGAGTTTTCAGGGGCATATGGCCATTTTAATAGTAAAAATAAACAAATTATTCATATCCAAAGTCATTTTATTGCATTTCCACTACTTACCGGAAGCGGGAAGATATGCACCGAAGTGGGAGATATGGCGGGAGATATAGGTTCTGGATATGGAAACCTCAAAATCAGGATACGGGATATATCTTACTAACTTATCTCCCTAAAACTCTACTTGGCATAGGACAAGGGTGTATATGTATACTTTCCTGAAGGATAAGCCTTATATCCAAATGACCCATTATTTATAAAATTATGAAAGTTGACCATCACAAAATAAAAATCCCTGGGAAACCTCTCTCCTTGGTTAAGAACAGAAAGAATATATTTATAATCCCTGGTGAATATGACTTTTAACATCTTAAAAGATGGCTCACTGTGTGCCTGGACATAAACATTATATCGACTTGAGGCTGGGACATATATGTGCTTTTCTGAGGAAGCACAATCATATAGTGTGGGAGACATTCTCTTGACATGACATTGAATAGATTTGCACTGAGTGTTTGTTTTAATGATTCATACATCTAACCAGGCTACTATTGCCAATGTCCAGGTTTCAATGTGGCAGGAAAGGATCATATTATATTTGCCTTACAATCCATTCATGTCAAGTAACCTTGTCAAGTAACAGAGTAAATCATGTTCATGAAATGAGGTAAGACCTTTTGAAATGTTGATTAGAAAATAAGAATGACAAGGACGATTTTAATTTTCTAATTTTTAATCACTTTCAACTTGCCTCTCCTTAGCTGCCATTTTATTCAAGGACCATAAGCATCATTCAAAACATCCTCTTCAATATGTTTAATTGATTTATCATCCCAAAAGCGAAAACAGCATAGAGAAAAACACCTACTCACCAACAAAGTTTGATTGATTCTTATACAATGAACTTTCATTTCCCAATATCCAAAAAGGTGAGAGGTTTTAAGATGACCAGACAGGTGCTACAGATACAATAAATAGAAAGGAGCACATAGGTTATCGCAAACAATTTCAAATAATTCTACCTTGAATTATGAATATTTTCTGATCATGAACATGGGTGTTTCTTTTAGATCCATTCATTATCTTCAAGAAAAGTATATATAATGATAATTAAATAAATCAGACCCTAAGTGGCATTGAAGGGGCAATGGACCAATCAATATAATTTTCAACAAACAACCTAATTTTCACCAAAAATGCAACTTTTTATTATATTGTTGAATGCATAATTAGAATGTGCTTTGAGACATGTTCGATTTCTTACGAGGAAAAGTTGATTGCTCCAGGGACTTTAAAGATACTGAAATTGGATGACCAAAATGAACTGAAACCAATGGATAGCATGAGATTTGTCAATGGAGAAATAACATGGGGAATACTTATCTTAAAGCAATTATGTTTTTCTTTCATTAAAATAAAGAATAGTAATGTATTGAACAATGTAAAAAAATGGTTGCATTTTCGGTGAAAATGAGGTTAACATCTTTGAAAAGTGTGTCGATGGGTTGATTGCAAGTTAAATATCTCCGAGTATGTTTGCTTTATTACTGTATATAATTTTCTTTGAGATAATGAATGGATCCAAAAGATAAACCTGTCTTCATTGTCAAAAAATAGTCATAAACCAAAATATAACCGTCTGAAATTGTTTGCGATAACCTACGTGCTCCTTTGATTTATTCCAACAAAAAAAGCAAAACATGGACTGAGTATTTCTGCATGTTTATAACACCTTTCTTGGCAATATTTTTGACAAAGTTTAAACGTAAATAAATCGTAAGTACCAAATCCATCCTGGTCATACACAGTATTGAATAAGTTTCTTACACCTTTGCTAGATATGGTTTGGAGGCAGTATCACATCTAAATGTCCTGATTGGTGGTATATGACTCTCATTTTATACAAATGTTAAATGAACGAAAGACTTGACTTTCAAGAAGCAATTAAACAGAAAATAGCATTGAAATATATCACTATAAACTCAAGATATCTGAAGAGTCTCAGATATTGTTGATAGCGAAACATTTTTCTCGTCCCGATTGGACATGGCAAGCGTTGGATGTTTAAACTCAGATATTGAGAGAAACCAGGGAATTTACCCCTATTGTCATTAAGTCCGAGGTATAATATCGGTTCCTCTGCCCAAACTTTACAAACGAAAGAAATTGTTTCGTAAATATTTGATGTTCTTGTAGTATCAGAGTTTTACAACTGGATTATATTCTACATATTGGCAACGTTATAAAACCTATCAACCACTTTCGAAATACAACACAGTAAGTAGCATTAAATTTTAATGTTCAGTTAAATATTATTTTTTCATAAAATCAAAACATTTAACATATAAGAGTTGGATTGTAGTTGGAATGCAATATCCTGATTGTTAATACAATGTTTTTCTCTTAAACCAATCACTGAAAACATTCTGTAAAAAACACGGTCTTTTACGTAATGTTGACTGATTGACAACAATTTAATGCGAAAATTATTTAGAAAGATTTTATATAACTGTTTTTGTAAACATTTTTTGTGCAGTTTTCGCTCCTTTCTACCAATTCTTGAGAATGAAATAAAATGTCTTTCCGAACCTTACTTGTTGGAACAAAATAGCATATACAACATGTTTTTAGACCTCTCAATATTATTATTACACAAAGGAATTTTGGGTTAATTTAAAAAAAGTATTCAAAAAATTAAAACAAAATCCCCCCAAAATAGATAAAAATCAAGATAAACCTTTTATTTCATTAACAAGATACTTTTTTAAAATCAACCAAAATTTCCTTTGTCGTTTTATTCCAATGAGGTTCGGAAAGATGTTTCATTTCACTCTGGAAACATGATACCAAGAACAAAACAAATGTTTGATGTGTTTTCTAAAACAATATAGATGAAAGTATATATATATTTTTCAAATTATATTGTTACCATTCAAAAGATGACCATTAAATTGACGATGTGTTAATTTTTTAGATTTTTTATGACTTGTTTAAGAGAAACGTGCGTTCAAAAAGTTCTCCATATCGATACCACGCCTTTATTTAAAACTAACTTTTAGAGGTTCTAATTACGTGTTTTTGCCGAAAAAATTAAGAAATCTGGTTCATAAATACAGTAAGCGGAAATGCATATCAAAATTTAATTCTCATTGATGGTGCAATAATATTTAAAACATATATATTTTCTTCCTTTTGATCCGATTAAACAATCAACATTGGCTTATTTTTGAAGTTTAGCATATTTGCAAAAGATTGACATACATGCAGATTTTTTTAATTTAAAAATTAAAGGTTTTTCCCACCTGAGTGATGTCACTTAGGTTACAAGATTTTTATTATGCTAAAACATTAACAATTTACATTAACATTAAAGTCCCCGTGGTATTAGATATTACATTTTATTCTTGAACTAGTGTGTCCTTTATTGTTTAATCTCTGGATCAGTGTTAAAAATAATAATTGTGTTTTGCACTGTATAGTGGAATATTTGAAGATTAAAAATTTAACTTTTATTTGAAAGATGGCGGAAACTTTGAATATCTGAGATATGAAACGCTGACAACTTTTTTTCTAAATATAATTTTTTCAAAGTCATGAAAAATAGTAAATGTATGATAAAACATATTTTCAAACTTTACATTGGGCCTTTAACAAATCGTATATATTATTTGAAGTAAAATGTATTTTATAGTAAAAGTAAGAAAATATCAAACAGTGCGCTTCAGAGGTCCCCCACACATTGTATTAACTAACTGGAAAACACGAAAATATCAGAAAATCAGCGTTTATATACGCCCAAAAACGTTTTTATCAAAACGTCATCTATACATATTGAAAATGATAATCATATGTGTTGTCATGTTGTTATTGAAAGAGAATAAAGTTTATATCGCTGATATTATAGGAATATCCTATGGTTTTGAAAAAATATCATTTATATCCATGAGTGGATATTGATATCTTTACGAGTGAGCGCAGCGAATGAGTGAAGATATTGATATCCATGAGTGGATATAATTGATATTTTTGAAAAACCATAGGATTGTCCGTTTATCCCATGGGAAATCTTAACCCAGCGAAAAAAATGGTAAAAAAATTTTTTTTTTAAAAAGATTTCAAAAAAAGTTTTTGAAAAAAAAATTTGAAGGAAAACATTTTTGAAAAAAGATTTTGAAGGTTTCAAAAATTTTGAAAAAAAATTTTGAAGGAAAAAATCTAAAAAAAATTTTTAGAAAAAAATTTGACAAAAAATTATTGAAAAAATCTAAACCATCGAATATCACTTTTGAAACCATCGAATATCACTTTTTGAGAAGTGATATTCGATGGTTTGAGAAGTGATATTCGATGGTTTGGGGATTTTTTGCAAAATATGATATCTTGATCCACATATCAAATATATCTTCACCTGATATTCGATATATCCTTGTAACCATTGGATAACAACAAATACGACGCAATATTAGAGAACATCACGGAATTGAAATACATATTAAGTATCGTTAAAATGCCTACATATCTTACGATACTTTTATTTATTATTCGACATTCTGATTGCGTAAATCTAGATATAAAATTATGAGAACAAGTTAGTTTATCTTCATGTTAATTTTCGAGATAATAAAATTCGCTGTTAATATTGGAAGGTATTCACACGTAGTTCTTTTTAAATATCAGTCATTTGTTGAACTATTGGTCTGAAAATAAACATTATCACCACCTTGCGAGGCCTGTTCTCAGGGTACTAGATATTAATACCTGTCTTGCCACAAGATGAGACATTGGTACTAGTTTATAAGCCTTGTGTTTTTACATACATTTCTCCGGGAGTTGCCGACCAAGTAGGAGTTACTGTCTGTGCCTAGGCAACTGAACAGATAGTAGGTTATCCCGTAAGAAAATCCATCTCCCCCACTTTCTATGTACCTTAGTGCACAGAATAGTGTGGGGTGGATTTTCATACGCCCGGGACATATCCATATCTATGCCATTGTGCCTGTGTTACTGGGGATTATTTTTTAGCCTAATCCTGAAGACGAATTGGGGCACGGAAATTGATTATTCACTTTCTGGGCCACTCTCTCTTGATTTCAAGAACCGCCCCTAATATGGGATGAATAATTACATCAGGGTACGGGTTATCATCCATCAATCCATCAAGTTTACCAGGACCATTGATTTATTTATAATGGAAGTGTTTACTGCTGTTTCCATCTATTAGTAAAGAGAAATAAGTTTCAAACTTTTACAAACTTTTACAAACTGTGGTGTGAGTTGTACAAACTTTGAACCAATCAGCATTTGCTTGCTGATCACGTGGGTTGAGCTTCACTTCCAGCAGAATTCGTATAGGAAGTTCTGCCTCATTTCGACATCATTTTCATCAATTTCAAGGTAAGTTTCTAAATAAAGCTAATAAGAAGGTTAATTTAAGAATATAAAGAACAATTCGACGTGCTTATTAAGGAGATCAGCAAATAGATTCAAGAAGAAAAGCCTACTAAACTTTTTGACTAATTTTCCAATGGAATGTCAATGGTAAACAAAACTCGAAGAAGTTTTTCTCCCTAATTTTCAGAGCTGTTTGTGTGCTAAAGTAACCGACATATTGTTAAGCTTGAAGGCGTGAAAGATAAAATGATGTCTGTGTAGCTTAAAAAATACCTCAAAACTACTTTGTTTTCGTGAATAATTGTAGTATGCATTCGAAATAAAATTGGTATATTTTGTAAAATCACTTGTTGAACCTTTTACAGTCCATGCAGGGTTAATTTTATCACTTAGAGTGGTCAGATAGATTATGTATTTCTGACTGTTTATAAGTTACATATTATTGTCAATATTGAGTTGAGGCTTTTACATTCAGCTTTTGTCCAAAATTTTAAATTTTACAAAATTAGGGGGAAGTTGTGTGAGTGGGAAAAACATGAGTGTGAGGCTTTAACATTTGAGTGGGGAGGGGGATGTATAATTAGACATCACTATATATAATGTGATAAATCAGGTGCATATCTGATCATTAGAACCCCTGTAGTACATAAGTAACTTCAGGTCAAAAATAACACAGAGATACTGCTGCAGGAAACTATATATCCCTTGAGGTTAAATATAGCATCTTGCCAGGATAATCTGATTAGCGCTTGTCTATCTTACTGAAAGATGAGTCTCCGCTTACTTACCTCTCTATATATGGATAATGGCCTCGATCGGTACAGCTAGGCTCCACCCCTATTTCCCAGAGTACATCTGGGTAGCTGATTATGGCCTAGTCCATGTTGAGCCAATAGGGGTGTATGGATTATATTCCATGTAATATTATGTCATTTTTGTGTTTTAAATTTTTTTTGTTTACTTTCTAATGATAATTAATAATTGTTAATTTGGGAGGGGGATTGAAACATTGATTTCGTTATTAGAATATTCTACTTAAACTTACAAAATCAAAAATAACTTTTGGAAAGTTAAATCATCTTGGGACCTTACCAACCTAATACCCCTCCAAGTGTTTTATCTTCTGCTAATTAATTATGTGGTGCTATATCTGTACTTGGCTTTGGTTAACCTCTGATCCTCTTTACGTCATCTCAACTTCTTCTGGTGGCCATTTTCATACTGCAGTGGATTGGAAACTTTCTTGGTAACTATTAAGAAATTATAATATATTTTTTTTATTTTACTTCAATGGTTATTTCATCGGAAACTTTATAACACATGTGTTCATTTATATTCATAAATCTGATTTGGTATATTGTTCATGTCTTGGTTTAGAACTATTTTGTATTTTGATATGGTCTTAACAAATATGCTATGCATTTATGTGTATAAGGATAAGCTCTTTTAAGTATAGCTATTAGGAATCATATATATCCTTGCATGGGATAAATAATATAATCACTGTGGTGACTTATTTCATTGGCAAACATGCATCATCATAGCCAAATATAAATACATATCGAATTTGAATGTACACTGTGTTCAAATGAGGCTAAAGATGGGAGGGGGGGCATTGTTGATATTGAAAAATGGCTGCCATCGATAGCTCCCTATTAATGATGAAAGCCATTGATTGATGTTTAAATAGCAAATGGATCCAGAGTGATATTAATTACATTGTATGAATGTTTTGCCAAAAATGTTTGCATGTAGAGTGTACTTTTGTCAAATGGTTTTGGATAAATGCTTTAGGGAGTCATGGGGAAATATATGCAATAAAGATATTCAGGCAATGTTACTAGAAAAAGATCATGACTAAAATAAACCTTCATACTTTCACCCTATGCAGACAGAGCCTGTGGGAAATATTGGGTGCGGAGCAAATGAGCGGAGGGTGCGGAGCTAACGGTCATTTTTGAATTTAAATTTGGGATATTTCTGAAACTAAGCCGTTTTGGGACTTCAAATATACCAAGATATGTGTATTTGACACCAAATATCAATACAATTGTGAAAATAGTAGCGCAATTCATTCTTTAGCGACGCAGTGTGCCTTAAATCTTTCCCAGACCTATATATTTTGAAATTATCCTTTTAATACTGAGTCCCCAGCATTCATAAAAAATGGTGTTCAAGGTACACTATCTATACAAATTATTTTTGCATCTTGGAAGCCAGGCAGTATCTGTGTGATTTTATAAAAATTCGGAAATGTTTTTCAGATATGAGCCCCCTCTAAATATTGGGTGCGGAGGAGCTCCATAAACGTACCTCCGCACCCAATATTTAGAGGGGGCTCATATCTGAAGAACATTTCCGAATTTTTATAAAATCACACAGATACTGCCTGGCTTCCAAGATACAAAAATAATTTGCATGGGTAGTGTATCTTGAACACCATTTTTTATGAATGCTGGGGACGCAGTATTAAAAGGATAGTCTCAAAATATATAGGTCTGGGAAATGTTTAAGGCATACTGCGTCGCTATAAAATGAATTGCACTACTATTTTCACAATTTTATTGATATTTGGTGTCAAATACACATATCTTGGTATATTTGAAGTCCCAAAACGGCTTAGTTTCAGAAATATCCCAATTTTAAATTCAAAAATGACCGTTAGCTCCGCACCCTCCGCTCATTTGCGCCGCACCCAATATTTCCCACAGGCTCTGTCTGCATAGGGTGTACTTTGGGTTTTATTGACTGATTTTATGTGTGTTAGGGAATAAACAGTCCCTTTTACTTCAGAACTGTCATTCTGACCATTCATCTCAAAATTAGATCCCAGCATTGAATAGTTATAGGGTAAAGGACACAATCTAGGCTAACACATGAGTCATGAACTGATGATTGCTTGAGATTTTACACAACAAAAACTTTCTTAAAATAACCTTTTCTTGAGCATGAAATGAACATGAAAGTATATCATAAAAAATCTGGTAATTGGGTACATTATGGTAATATTTGGGTATATAATAAGCACATCTTCATTTATATTGTGTATGTCTTGTCAGATAGATACAATGTGCTGCCTCAAATCTCATATATTGATATAAGATACACATGGTGAACTTCATGGAATTTATCGATTGAACTTCAGGTCATTTTGGATCACAACCCTTTCTATAACTTTTGTAGACCAGTTATACTATCTTCGTTCATGTTAATTCTTAAAAGTTCCCTTATTTCATTCTCTTGAGAACCTGAAATTTTATACCAGGGGTAGACTGGGTGTTTCTAACATATATCTAAGTCTGCATCAATGTTACATACCACTTCAGGTAAAAATAGAATGAATCAGTGTTAACATGGTACATGGCTGTTGAACAGTTTTCCATCTAAACAAGTTATGCAGCTACCTCAGTCTGTAGCACAGTTGCAAGAATTTAGTGATTGCACAGTTCATTTACGAGGGCCTTTGACTTATTGGCCATATCTTCTTATTAAGCTTTACGTTAGACTGCTATATAAATAATAATTAATTTTTAACTTATAATGTCAGCCTTCATATGATATTGTCTTTAAATCAGGATTTTTACCAGCAACATAATATGATGTACAATTATATCAAAAACAGTATACTGTAGTGTAGATAGATATGAAGAATGTCAGTTCCCAACATAGTCTACCCTTTGCATTCGTTCACCTTCACTTCTTAAAAGAGAGCTTCATCTTCGTCTGTAGTTTAACTTAACTCGGCACGCAGGGTAAACATAGTCATGTTTATGATTACCCTATATTTTGTGAAATATTTAAGATTTCACAACTTTTGATTTATTATAATCTTTAAGGAACATGCACATGTGATTTTTTTTAATATACTTCCTTGAATTACCTGAAGAAGAATTATCGTCAAATTTATATATATGAAATCAGTTATTCGCAATGCAGAAGTAACCGTTTATTTTTTTACTTTCAGTGTTAGGTTCTTTTCACAACCTTCAAGATGTCTGACGACGAGAGGGGAGCGAGGTATGCATAACTTTATATTAATATCCATCTCTTGTTAATTGATTAAAATGATTACTTTGAAGTTGAATTGAATTCAAAATGATTTGCGATTGGTCAGTTTTGCAAACAGGTGAATCGCACATACAATATAGCAAGATGATTTCCTCCTTCAGTATAGAGGGGACAACTGTACTCCTGTAATTCCCAGTAGAAATGAAAGAATCTTTATAATAGCAACTTTTCCAATTAAACAATTGTATTATTGATTATATGTAATTAAATTATCAAATTGATTTAAGTAATCAAATTAAATAAAAATATATTAGCCTTTATTTCTAGATGAAATCAAATTGATTACATGTAAAATACATGTATGTAAATTAAAATTATACATGTCATATCTGTGGAATACAATTGACTAACAACCATCTTCTTTGTTATCATATTAACCCTTTCTTTCACAATACTTATATTTTTCTGTTAGTCCTGAGAAGGAAGAAGAACAAGCAGGGTAAGGGTTAATCCTGGAGTGACTCGTAGAGAAACAAGCCTTAGAAATTCATATAACAGACCATTTAACCATCAAATATAGAAAACAGTTTGCTGAGTAAGGGGGGGGGGTTGCATTTTAAATGAATTTTCATTTAATGGGAATAAGATAAAAACAAACATGAACCAAAGGGGGGCTATGAAATGGATGGGGAAAGACATAACTCTAGTATTACCTTATGAACATACAAACAAATAGCATATACAGCATTTTATTTGGTGGTTAAATGGGAAGAGCCTTTACATAGATATGTCTATACCATGCCCTGTGGGGTGCAGTGACGTGTCTTGATGTGAAGCCTGCTAGAGGCGCCCCCAAATGATGTGTCTTGGATCCTGACTCAGATAATCATTGAATGCAAATCAACCTTAAAGTCACTATATGTTTGATACGCCAAATACCTTTCTAACAGTTTTCTCACTTTTAAACTCATTTGAACATGTTGAATGCAAATATGTGTTACTATCGTTTGACTGATGATACATTGATTTGATGTTAGAAATGAACATAGATTTAGTTAGGAAACTGTCAGAAAGGCATCACCTCCATTATGCTGTGATGTTTTATTGCGTCATGTGTGTTCGTTTTCAGGGCCATGCCTGACCTGAACCAAGGCTTCTGATTGAATTTTTGGTTCAGAATCAGAATAAAGTTCATTATTCTTTAGAGGCAGGAGTTATATCAACCCCAGACTCCCTGAATGCATCATGGGATTGATGAACATCCTTTTTTACCCAGATACATCCATTCTCATGACTATGACTATGAGACCTTTTTTATTCAATCAGAACTAAATCTTGATTGTCTTTATATTCATGTGAAGAGATGTGTCTCCCTGTACACGTGTTACATGTATCCCTGTTATGTATCCCTGTTTATATAGCTTGAAGTATTCTGTACATGTTTGTATTGTATTGTATTTAACAACAATCATAATCTGAATTCCTAGCTTGTATTTGTTGTAGTATGATAGTATAGTGCTGTGTCTGAAGTACCAATGTTACTGATCCTGTATGCCATAGTTTGAGTGACACAACTTTCAGTTTTGTTTTTCTAAAGTATTTTAGGTTCTTGTTTATTATGTATAGATAGAGCTTATCCAGTTTAGTGCAGTCCTTAGTGAAACATGCCTCAAGAATGTGTGTGTTGAGTAGGCTAGAGGATTGAGACTTTGTGTGATATTCAGTCAATATTTTGGGTCTTTGAATGTGGTTGCATACTCAAAGTTAACCAAATGCTTAAATAATTTGGTAAAACACATGACACCTCATCACAAAAACAAGATATTTTTGAAGTCCAGGAAACTAATGCTTTGCCTGTAGATTCATTAACGCCCACATCACTTCTTAATTCAATATTATTAAAAACACACTTCTGCTATTATTTATTTTTAATTTCGTATGTTCTAAAAATTAATCCATGTACAGTATTTCTTCAAAGCTTCTCCTACACATCAGTTTCTCTGATTCATGTCCAAATTATACTTAATTTTCCCAATATTTTCATTATTTAGCGATGAGCCCGTACAGTAAGTAATTTACTGCATGAAAAATATCTTCATGGTCATGCAGTAACCATCAGCACCATCTATGTGCATGCCATAGAATTAATTTTCATCCTGTTTTGTTTGTCGCTTTGATCTAGGAGCAGAGCACCTCCATTATGGATCAACACAGTAATAACTGTTTGGTAGTCATAGCAATGTAGTAGTCGCAAAGCAACAACATGGATTGTTAGAGCTTTGGTTGGTTGTCAATAAATAACACATAAGTTCGAGTATGAGATGTTTGTAAACTATATTTCATCATTTTCAGCAAAATTGAATAACAATTAATGAGCAACATTCAAATATAAGCAAACCCTATGTATGAAAACCCCACTGTACTCTTTCAAGGGAACCATGTACTTTCTCAAATTATTGCAACAAAAACACACAAAAAACCAAAAAGCGTACAAATATAGTTTATAAACAATCCAAATGGACACTTTAAGTCGGAACATTGATGCATGGATGTGTAATGTTTTCTCTCAGTTGTGTGGGGCATGGTGTTGTCATAGAAACCATTGACATTGAAATACCATTGATTCACCAGAGGTTCTGCTGTAGGTCATATGTCCTTGTCTAAGCACCTCTTTGATATTTTCACTTATTGACTATCTGTATATTAAACATCAAGATGTTTTCATTGGCTTAAAGATATTTCTTACATCTTTCATTCTACCGATATGACACAACCAATATGGCATAGTTACACCAGAAACTAAAATTATATTGTTCAAAGCATTTTTACGAAATTTTACATCATCCTTTTAGTTATGTGGTCCATTAATGAATGATTTCTGACCAGTTAAGAATGATAATGATGTCATTATTTGTCATTGTAAACCATCGAAAAAGAGGTTCATCTTTACATAAGGAAAGGACCATGGTTCAGTAGGAGTTTCTCACCACTCATTACTTCTTATAAATGTTCTCATGTAAAGCATGTCTTATATACTCTGAGGTATCAGCAATGCATGTATTAAACCACTTTTACCTTTCCCTTATTCATAGATGATACTATGCAATACTAGACCTGCTTTTGTTTTGATCATCTTTTGTCTATATCGTCATATTTGTTTATATATTTTTCTAGCTTTTAAAATTGTTTAATATGTTTATGATTTCTATCGTATAATTACAATTAAGTATGCTTTAACATTTCTTTCAACTTTTCTCACAAATAGTTATTTGACAGAATATTATTTAAATATTGTTTAGTCAATTTTGAGTTTTTAATAATAAAGCATTTTTATCTGGAAAGCTATTTCAATTGAAAACATTATTTATAATCTAATTGAATAACATACTATACATTCTCATATTTCGCTTATGCTTCCATATTAACTATTAACGAACATAATTTACATAATCGGCAAATATTTTGAGTGCAATGACTGCTGCTTAAAGCCTGACATATCATTAATTAACATTAGGGAGGAGGAAGCTCCAGCATCAGAAGAGCCAGAAGCCCCTGCTGAAGAGGCACAACAGTGAGTCTCACATGCATGAATGACAGTCACATCATTTGTACCTCCTCCCTGCATTTAATTAGATAAAATCAGAATGATTTTGCATGGTGTTCATCCATATGATAAAGAGTATCAGTCGAGGATGATTTCTTGTCTTATGGTTGTTGGTATTTTGAATGATTTGGAAATGTGAACCAGGACTCATTGTAGTGAAATGAATAAATGCTCAGTTTACTTCATCTTGCATTTAAAGATGTCACCTTCTGTCTTCAGAATGTTTCACTGGTTCACATTTAAAGTGGTTAGATATCTTAGCTGATTATATAAACAGCAGTTTTACTTTAGTTTTGTTGTCTGTATGTTTGGCTGTTTTTTATTTAGGTCTTTGAAATATTTTGTAGAGACAATATGCATTGAATTTGTAAATCTGGTTTTTAGTTGATGCATTAGACATTTTGGGTTGTGTCATTGTAGTTTTGTGTGAAATGTCAGTGATGTATTCATATAAAAAATGGTTCATTTGTGTTGTGGTAGTATAAGATGTGAACGTAAAATGATGAATTCTTAATAAGGTTTTACTTACTTTCATGTAATGACCTATTGTTGACATTCTCTTGGTATTTGTATATTGATGTAGGACATCATTGATCATGTTTTAATCTGTTTTTCGAGAACAAATAGACTATATCTATGACACTCTTTGACATCAGATAGTTTGTGAGAGACGTCTACTTTATATTGGTGGCAACATATTGCACAGCTTACACCATGCTTAGCTTCACAGTGTTGGCTAGAGGTGTTTTGTGACCAAGATGCCAATATCATTTTGGGCATCTAGGTAAGCATCCTCCTCAAGGTCATGTGACTTAATTGACCAATCAGCTATCTTGCTTTGCTTTAGAGAGGAAGAGGAGGCACCACCAGTAGAGGAAGCCCCACAAGCTGCCAAGTGAGTTACCATGGTTGCCAAGTGACATTGTGTATCCATGTTTAGTGCAGTGTAATGCCATTGTATGTGTGAGTCTGTGAGATATGCCCATTGCTTTTCTACTTCAAGATGAGGGTAGTTGGATCAGAATTTGAAAACAAAATTGAGTACATGTATCATTTCTACCCAAGACTACTTCGTATATTATGTAAATAACCAAATTTTTTCAAAGAAAATGCTGATCATGTGAAAAGATTTCATCCCTTCCATTGCACTCGTATCAGATATAGTCTGCACAAGTGGAATGGTAACAAGTAAGAAGGCTTTCCCTTCTCAGCTAGTCAAGTTGATGCCTTTTGACTGCAGGAATACTTAACAAACATATAATGAAATTGGAATTTTATCAATGATCATTCATTCAGTTCATTAATGGCATTAATAAACAGACAAGAAACAAAAATATTTATTTGTTCAAAGAAAAATCAGGCGCTGGGCATACTCTACACATTATAGTATGTATGTTAAAGTTCTACCTCAACAAGTCAAACGTTTTGATATGGCAGGAACTGAAATTGTTACTTGGGTCAGGAATACGACCATATTTGGTATGACTTGTAGGGGTTTAACAGATTGGGTATAGCTATTATATAGAATTTGTTTTCAGTTTGGAGAAATGGTGTGGCGTTTTTATTTTTATTCATTTTTTTAATTTTCAGATAAGCGTGTGTGATGTTTGCAGTGTTCAATGTTGATGCATCATAATGTGTTGTTATGGTTACCATGAAACTTTCTCTTTTATAAATTCACGAGCTGAATGTTAAGGAAATTTTGATGGTGACTTGAAAGATAAGTTGTATCAATTGTTTGTATGGCCATTGAAGGCATTTTAAGTCTAGCACATATTTGTGCATGTAACTGTCGATCTGTTGTGTCCATAAATTATTCAAACAATTAAGCATCTGTTTTCATATTCATTTCTGAGTCTTCGGTTTCGAGTGTAGGTTTTTTAGAAATATCATTTTGTTTGAAGGTGGTTTTTGTTTGTTTTCTGTCAGTTTTATGTTATACAGTATTCATGTATTCTGTCATTACTATAATATGTTTTGAAGCTGAACACAAATACATGTACAACAAACACAACAGTCATTACAATGATGTCACAATCATCATATGTCACAACAAATCATACATTACAATCTATCAGGTGTAACATGTATAACATTACATTTATGCATGAGCTTGTTAACAGGGTATTGAGTAGCTAGAAACAACATAAATGAATATTTGTTATAAATACAAATAATTGTACATACTAGTGACACGCCAGTGAAGGAACCTAGCCCTGAGCCAGTCCGTGAGCCCAGTCCCGAGCCGATGCGTGTCCCAGCACGACGTGTTATATCTCCATCCCCTGAGAGAGATGACTCTCCATTTTCAACACAGAAGAAGTCTTTTGTTAGACAGTGAGTGGATTGAAACTGAGGATGACACAGTAGGACACTTTGTGTTGACACAGTTGCAGAGACACTTTATGTCATTGACGTAGAGTTCAATGTTATGAACTGACATTAGAACCAACACATCAATTTGTGAAAATTCCTCACCGACACTAAAAAAGAGACACTTGTGTTCATTCAAGATCAGTAGAGTTTGTGGTTGTTTTCGACCATTTATTAGTTTGAACACATCATGTATATAAAGTTAGTTGATAGTTTTGACTGATAGAATCAAGGCACATTGAAAATACATGATGCTGACTCTAGTCCTCACTTGACTACAAATGGACATATGCCATGATTTTGAATAGTTTGAAATTCACTTGTATTGAATATATTACACATTAGTTGCCATAAGAAGCAATATTATCATCAATTTAACATTTGCATGTTGTCTTCTCTATAGTAACGTTGCACCATCTGTTTAACTAGTATCTACACAATATTGAAGGATAAGTTTTGCCTGAAATTATGACTTGAGCTCGAAATGTTTTGAGATTTAGTTTATTTGTTTGAATTCTGCAGCTAAAACTAATATGGTTTCAGTTACAAGAATTATTTTTTTCATAAATATTTATTACTTGGATATAACCAAAATTGATTTTTATATTCTCAAAATGTTATCATTTTTATGCATCATTCGTATTACTGTCATGTTTGGTACTAATCAAGGTTTATCATTTGTAGAGGGTCCTCAGAGAAACATGACGCAAAACCGTAAGGTTACGTGTGTGAAATATTGCATGATGGGAATTATTTTGTCAAATGTACACGAGTCTTGTTAGTGATCATTTTAGTTTCAATGAATTATCTCATTTTATGCACTCTCGCTGGGGGAGATTCTAAAAATTCTTGGTCAGGCATATTTTCTGTTAAATGCTAAATGTATGGTCAAAATATACCATTAGAAAGCAAGTCATAATTTATATTCAATAAAATCATTTAATATGTTGAACAAATAACCTTGCCTAAAGCATATTTCTGAAGTTATGTCTGATTGGGGTACGTTATGAGATTTTGCACAGCTTTCTTATTAAGATTTACAGCAATATTATTTTAGAACCAATTATGTTACATAAACACCACAAACCACTTTACAAGAAAACATGGAATACACAACATTAAGATATTACAAAACAGTTATCACACATTTCATTTTGCAAGTTGCACTTACAATTTTTGTATTGTTCGACAATTTGATGCCACTATTGTTGTATTGTGTCACAGTCAGACGTGATAGCTGTGTCAGAGTTGTTGTTTTGTGTCACAGTTTGTTGTCCAAGTCCAGTTGTGTAGACTGTTACAATTGCTATAGGTTGCTTTTGGTGAATTGTTTGTGAGTGTGTGAATCAGCATGTTTCACTTTGCATTTCCATATCAATATATTACAGTAATATACAATAATGTGCAAAAATTAAGTACATGGTATTGAACATAGTGTTTCCAACACCAATTTCAGCTTTCATGTTGACCCTCTCATTATGTAACTTTCTCTTTTAACCACATGTACCCATATGTATGTTATCATGAATGTCATTTGTTTCTAAAACTGTAACAGCTATTCTCCCCAATGTCAGTCACTGTGTTAATTTTGCAGGTTGATGACATTTGAAGATTATGCATAATCTTCTTTTTTGATTTTGAAATAATTTTTGCCATTATGGTTTTCAGATCTGAAGAGTGAGTATGGTTCACCAGGGTATACACATCACGTTTGGAATGTTATCAAAATTAGAAGTTAATAATTTCTCAATTTTGATTGGTTCCAATACCTGCTTGTGAATTTCCTTAGAAAGAAGAACATTGGTTGCATGTTAGACTGGTTGTTGGTAATTCCATGCACCATAAACCATCTTAACTGAACCCCACCTCTGTATAGTATATGAACCGATAAATCGTCTATTATACACAGCACAAAAAGTGCCTCAAATTGGGGCAATTTCCCATTTATTTACAAGGGACAATATCCATATTTGCAGTATATTTTGAGCTGTGTGTAAGACCCGTTATGTCAGATACATTCAATATATTACAACTTCATGCAGTAAAACATGTCTAAACATATCAGATTAGAAAAGAGTGCCCACATTTAAGTGTTCACACTTAGAGACTTAGTTTAGTGATTGATATCACAGTAATGGTGTTCATATACTAGAAGTGTTCATAGAAGTTTTCAGTAAGAGTTATATATTGACTTGTATCTGCAACTGTGGTGTGAACCTTTAATGTTTTTATAGCTCGGCATTACTCCAAAACTAGACATGTCTCCATGTTTGTATACTGGGCTTGAACATGATTCATGTTTGCAACATCAAACATGGACATGTCTTATGTTTGTACCAACAAGACTTGGTTATGATCCATGTTTGCAACATCCAAATATGGACATGTATCCATGTTTGTAGCATCAGGACTTGGATATGATCCTCTGTATTTGCAATATTAGAACTTGGGCACATATCCATGTTTGTAGCATCAAGTTTTGGATATGATCCATGTTTGTTGCATCAAAACTTGGACATCATCTATGTCTGAAGCATCATACTTAGGACATCAACCCATGTGTTGAGGCCTGCAGTGTATATTTGCACACGTTAACAAACAGTAGGATTGGGTTGATTATCCATTTATAACACTTCACACCTTCCCCTCTTATTCAACCATTATCAGATACTGCACCAGGCATACTACTCTCCAAATCCCTATAATGCATAAAGTTTCCTGTGAATACTCCATATGCAGGGAACCTCATCTTGTGATTCCTACTTCGAGCGAAAAATGAGTCCTGAGCCTTTAGAGGATGTTCGACCCAATCTTAATTTCCTATCAGATAAAGTTTTTCTCCAGGTTTTCTAGGTTTTGTGATGTCACATTTAACCCATGTGATATGCTTGAAACTCCCTTGTGTAAAGCCGAAGATGATGTTTCTATCCTACTACCTATATTATAAACTATGAACTCACACATGTTTCTGTGATAGGGCAGATAATGAATGGGTCGGTCCATTCCAGGGGATGGGATGCTATGCTTCTCTAACCATACTAAAATATTTATCATTTGATATAATGAAGCAAATTAACGAAACACTATTTCTTCTTTCAATAATGAATTGTGGTGTGAAACATTCAACAGAAAATTGTGGAGTGAAACATTCAACTACAGCTTACTTGTTAAATGGTGCCGCAAAACTCATCTCAAACTGATCCAGTTTGTGATATGAGTTGAGGTATAATGCAAATATGATCTATGATTTAAAAACTACTTGTTTTAGATTGCAGATTTGTGGCAAAATGTGATCAATGAGATTGCTTCATTTTGCTTTACAAGTATATTTGGATGTATGCCTACTGTTGTAGAAAACCTGTTTATTCCCATCATGACACCATATGACCTTGACCCATTTTCGCACAGTTTTCACTTTACCCTTTAAAATTCAGTTCTCTCCATTTGTATCTAATTAAAACTCCATTTTACATGAATCTGTTACAATTAAATACAAGTTCTAATTAAAGAAATTATGATTACACAGTAAACTAGATATAATTTTTATGAAATAAGTATATATTGATTATAAGGATAAACTATGATTAAGTGTTGTCCCCAGGAATTGTTTTTAAGTGGTAGCCAAAATTCCAGTTGGGTGTAGTGTCCACTTGCTTTGTTACTGGGGAATGCACTTTGTTTATGCCGAAGAAAATGGAGATTCATAGATGTATACAATGTTTTCTAGACAGAGCAGTGGGCCTACTGAGGCCATGCGTCAGATGGAAGAAGCCAAACAGCGTCGTAGTGAGAGGGAACAGGAAGAGCTGAAAGAATATGAAGAGATGAGACGTGCAGAGAAACAAGCTGAGGAAGAAGAGATCAGAAAACTCAAAGAAAAGAAGGTACAGGAAAAGAAAACACATCCCTCTGGTTACCTGAGTGTGACAAGTGGTGGGCCAGACCAATGGCTCTCCAATTCTTATGACACGCCCTACTAATTGTTACTGCTTGTGTTTTTCATTTACTTGTTTTTGACCAGATTTCATTAAGAGTATAATACAGGCATAATTATAAATAGCCAATTGTCACAATCTACTTTAACAGATGCATTGTTGTACAATTTACTGTACATTTGAATTGAACAATAAACTATCCCCTTATACACACTATCTGAGTCATGTATTGTTCCTCTCCTTTGCCTTTAACAATTTATATAACATTGTAGGAAAGACGCAAGATCGAACGTGCGGAAGAAGAAAAGAAACAAGCGGAACAGAGAGCTGTTGAAGAGGCCAGACGCAAGGCAGAGGAGGTACAGCTCAACTTCAATTATATTTCATAAATTTTTCTTTAAAAATACTTTAAGCATGACAAACATTTTAATTTATTTACTAAAGTTTTCTATTTCATCTATTTTCTTTTAAGTTGTATGATATTTGATACTTTTCACAAGAATTATATAAAACATGTTTGTTCGGTGGGATTAGCTACTCCGCAGAGTTGCTGTTTTCTAGTTTAACTAGGTTCCACAGAAACACATGTAAATAGATTCTGAAAATGAGTTCAACAAGATTTTATCTGAATTGAATTGAATTATGATGATATGTAGTCAGTTTTATGCAAATAGCCAATGGGAAAGTCTTGAGTAAATGTTTGATGTCTTTCCACCTGCAGGAAGAACGTAAGAGAAAGAAGGAAGAAGAACTAAGAATAAAGCAGGAGTCTCGCGCTGCTGCCATGAAGGAGGCTGATAGACTCCGCAACCCACCCAAACCCAATTTCATCATCTCAAAGAAAGGAGGATCTGTAAGTTCAAATTTCTCTTTTCTTTTGTCTTTAGCACTGTTTTTACTTTCACGTTCTTGAAAAAATCATCAAAATTGTTCAAAGCTAAGAAAAAGCAAGATTAATGGACTCCATCATGAAATAATAGCACATTTTGCACTTCTTGTTTATGTCATAGTACTTTTATCAATCCAAACCATTGATATTGTATGCATTAAGATTTGTAATCTAACCCAATTTTTTCTTATTTCATATTTTAGGATGTAAGTGATGCGTTGATTGTGTACTTGCAAGTACACATGAGGTTTGACATAGTGCTGTTAATATAGTCTCTGTTTGCCTATAGATGGCTCTTAATGTCAGGGTCACCTTTGCACAGTTTCAGACTCCATATGTCAATCAAAAAATAAAAATATATATTTATTTTAGATATTTTTGAGTGTCCAAGGATATGCTCCCATGAATTTCATGGTGAATTATGAAGTAAATTACATGGCTTCCAATGTTTATTACCAATATTTAGCAATATAACTATTTGTTTCCTTTTAGAATCAATTTCTTGTATTTATTTCTACAGTTTATCAAAAAATCAACATTGAATATTTTGGTTACAGAGGGGAGTCTGGGTTAAGTTAAAATGTAATTTTTTGTCATGCGTCAAAAGTCATGTTTTCGGGTCTTATTGATTTTACCCATTAGTTCTAGCATACTCTAGGCACTCTAAGAGGCTGTAATTTAAAGTAGGCCTAGGAAGATAAATTTGAAACTGTGGAATGGTGCATTCAGATTAATATATTTGTTGTGTTTTAGATGCTCTGACAATTCCTTTGGCATTGTAATATATGTTTCAAGAATTTGTTTGCAAGAATATATGTTGTGTTGGGATTCCATTAAAGATTAATAGGACACATGGACATGACCTTGAACTGGCCAGAAAGCGTATGATCAAGACACCATGTACAAAACATGTATTCGTGCATTCACTAACTAACTGTCTCAAATGTTTGTGCGATTGTGACTGCTTGCAGAAGTATTATTCAATGTGTCCTCTGCTTTCATTTCAATTGCCACTGTTGTAAGATCAGATCAGACCTTACAATATAGGCTATTACCACATGTACCATTTGCTCACTCGATCGACTTAGCATACCTTAATGTTGTTAAGATTTACTCCCGTCGAGAGCTACTTAGATTTTGAAAGTATAGCTCTCTATCGCTAGAATCAACAGCTTAAGAATCCTGACTTCAAAGAAACGTCTCACTGCCCTATGTATCGATCGGGACTTCATTTTATTGGTCGTGTCAAAAGTTTTGGCCAGGTATATTCAATATGGCGGCTTCAGCTGGGAGATCCTCACGATGGAGAGCTATACTTTCAAAATCTAACATGGTAGCTCTCGACGTGAGTAAGTTAAGATGTGATGTCATATTCATCTAAAAGAAAGTGTTTTTCTTGAACCAAGTCTGAAGCAGTTTGTAAAACATGAGCATTGGAGACAGCATTTAGTGGTGTTTTCACATAATAAATTGCAATTCATTCGTGGAAATTCTGCTAACTTATTTCGCGGCTAGGAGCTTTTATTAGAAATTTCAAATATTTAAAGATAGATACAAAACACTAGTCAGATACTAGGTGCTATAGATTGCCTTTACAGGAATAGTTGCAAAGTGTATATAGGTATTTTTACTTTACATCAGACCTGTATACATTTGATAATTTGAAATCTGATAGTTGATAATTAATGCTTTACAGTATCTGAGCTAAGTATACATGCGTATATATTAAACCTTGATAGAAAGCTCCCAAGTTAACTTGCCATTGGCCTACCCATCTCTTTGTTAGAGAGCTCTGACAGTGGAAAATATGACACTATTATTTTTTAATATTGCAATAAAGATTAATCAAAAATATGCATTGAAGCAAATGTCAAGGATTGGCTCCCAGGATCGAAATTCTATATTTTCCAACAATGAAAACGTTGAAATATCGTTATTTTCTGAAAAATAACCGACTATAAATTCAAATTAACACTTCAAAAGATTCGAACCAAAATCGCGATCATTTCTTGTGAGTTTGGAATGTTTCGTTAGGAAATAAAACCAAAATTCATGATTCAAATGTTGAAGTGAACAAAATGGCGGCTGTTTGGAATCGAATTTTGTATCACAACATGCCCATATATGGGACAGATTATCGATGTTGCACTCAGGGAGCCAATCCTCCTTGAGCAAATGTAATATTTTATATATTTACATTTTTTGTTCGTCATACTTTCCACACATGCTGCATCTATAGTAGACTTTACGCCACCAGATCTAGCAGTCGCAGAGTGATTTTGGCGCGTGGGATTGTTCAGCATAATTAATGGCGTTGCTTGTTCATGTCTATTATTGTTTTGACCTTTCAGAGATTTTGCGTGTGTGGAAAATGTGCCTTTGTTGCATAACACATGGCAAAACGAGTGACTATTGCTACATAGCTTGTATTGCTGTTGACGATGTCCTCATTTGGAAAGTAAATATGTACTTTGCAGGCTGACTACCATAATATCAGAGTACCAGAGTACTGACTCCCATACAAAATCGATATCATTTAATGCATAGCATCATACATATTCAGAATATCATCCAACAATATGCTTAGCATATCTTTTAAAATCTACAAATTTTACTCAGCATTTCATTCAACATTGACTTTTATGGCATCCTTTGTCGTTCAATTGTAGTCGGCTCAAATTTTCAGGAATTCTTCTTAGTATGAAAGTCTAAATGAGTTATATTGGGTGGCCATATTGAATACTCTACACCAGTAAGTTATTAGAATGGCTAGCTAGTACAGAGAATTTTGAGGGATACTTCTTTAGACTTGATAGACCTGATCAGTTGTTTGCCAGCACTATAATGTACAACTTAAGGATGTGATATTCATTGTTGTTTATTAATATCATTTTACAGCAACATATACAGTATAAAGTAATAAATAACAATATAATGTATTCAACATAAAATCTTACTATCTCTGAGCTTCAGCTATAAGCATGATTTGTTTTTCTAGGTTGGCAATGTTGTTAAGGCCAAGGAAGACATGACCAAGTCCAAGGAACAGCTTGAGGAAGAAAAGAAGGCAATCCTTACACAGCGTATCCATGCTCTGAACATTGATGGATTCTCAAGTGACCAACTCACTGAGAAGGCCAAGGATCTTTACAACCAAATCTACAAACTTGAGTCTGAGAAGTACGATCTGGAAGAGCGTTTCAAGAGACAGCAGTATGACGTAAGTATATTAGTCTACATGATCTGCAGAAAACTCTTGAACATGTATTTAATCTTGAATATTTGTGCTTTTTCTGATGTTCCTTGAACATATTTTATATGTGGCCTTGATATGAAAATTATCTTTGAATAACATAATGATTTGATACACTTCAAAAATCATTGTATACTTACTCTTTACCAAATCAAATAATGTACTTTCTACGTTGATTTATTCATGAGTTCTGCCAAAATCTGTTATATACATGTACCAGTTTATGGATGTACATGAACCTTAGTAAAAAATAAATGAGTAATATAACTGTTTTAGATGATGGAGCTAGCTGAACGTGCAAGACAGATGAACAAGGGAGGGTAAGTTATATAAACATGTGCTGATATATTTTCATCTCCAGTAGTTTTCTAAAAAAAATCAAAAATCAGTAGTTTCAAATGTAGCCTTTGTAAGGCTCTGGATAAAGAGTTAGTCACATTGAGCCATCTTAAGTCAAGACCTCTCAATGATTGGCACATTTGGGCCTCTTTATATATTTGATTTAGTTGTTTAATTAAAAGAGAATGTTGTGAAATGTCAACAGTTGTAGAAAAAGTACTAGGCCTATAGGGTTAAGTAATAGCCTATTTTATACGTGAAAGGGAGAAAAAGTTACACCATTTTTATTTTGCAATACCAGGAATCGAAGTGCTAAAAACATTTTATTTGAACTTTTGATGCTTATACCTTCTGACTTTCCCTGTGAAATATGATCAGGAGAAAGAATTGGGTAAAAGATCTCATTTTTTAAATTTTATTTTTGGGGATAAATCAAATCATAAGATTTAGGGGGGGGGTTAAAAATAAGTGTTTTTCCACAACTGAAGATACTTGGACATAGTCCATTCTTACCACATAAGATTCTGTATCAAATTGAGAAAACAATCCCTTTCTGTAGTTAAGACAAATTAATACAAAAAACATTTAATTTATTATGTGTAATAAGAATTATTTAAATTCAAAAAGTGCATTATACATATAAGTGTATATGTAGTAGTATATAATTTGCATGAAAATAAGTGATATAGCATGATGGCATGGTTGTTATGGTTACTTTGTTTTCAGTCGTGACAGACGAAGTGGAGGGGGATACGACGATGATGTAGTGTAAGTCGAAACACAAAACTTTTGTAAAAGAAATAAATTAAATGTGCATGTTTTAATCGCAAATATTACAATTTTAGCAAGAGGGATGTTCATGAAGGATGGTAAGAGTATAGGACACCCAGACGTTTGTAGCATTGTCTCGTATTTCTGTATTTCTTGGAATTGTCTTGTCCACTCTATTAGCTTTTAAGTAGATTGTCTTGCTCCTGATTCCGATCTTTAGCATCATGTCTGAACTTGTGGCTGCTCACACGCTGATATGCGTTGAAGTGCAATCTAGTCACAATTTATGTGATCCTTATCGATCTTTATGTGATCTGTGATCTTTGTGGATCAAAGGTTCTTAGGGTACTCATCAAAAATGAATTACAAAACACTTGTCACTATATTTACCTACACTTGCTGAAATGTTCCATATCATGCTCAATGTTTATGGACTTTATATAATCCTGATCATATTTTTTTGTGGCCTTAACTTATTATGATTGCACACAGAATCCATAAGTTCATAATGTAAGACATGATGCTACTATATTTGCTCTATGTGCTTGTCAAGTTGGAAAAATGCTGAAATGGAAATGTCTGTTTTATTGCATAGGTTCTTTCCAATAGATACATCCATCAAGTCTGTGCTTTTTGTGTACATCCCTTTTATAAGCATAAGTAATGGTTTCTCCAATCCCCCTTGCCACAAGTACTTCAAGCATGGAGAATAGGGATATATATTCTCCAATTTACTGGATGTTTGAATTTTCACAATCTTGAAGAATGCTTTGAAGACCAAATGTAGGTATCAAGGCTGTAGATGTTTTGATCTGGTCGGACGACTCTTTCACAGTAAACATTGTGCATGTTATATTATTTGTTGCCAAATTTATCTTCTTGAGTGCTGTGTTTTCTGTTGTAGGTAAGGTAACATTTCAAGAAGGTTTCAACATTTTCAATTGGCTTCAAACAATTTTCTTCATGCTTCTCTGGTTGAAGTGCCATTTATTGTAAAATTAGGGTATTTATGATATTTTATTGCATTTGTTTTGCTGTCTTCAGAAAAGGCAAAGCCCACAGAGTCACAGAGACGTAAGTTAGCATGATGCATGATGGTCCCAAGACCCCTTTGTCACAAGTCATTGCATTATGGATAATTTCAGTCTGCAAGTCCCGTTGCATTATGGGATTTTAAGCCTATTTCTCCTATTGCATTGTCGGAGATATTGTTTGCATGTTATGTCATCATGTAAAGCAATGTATTTGGTTTTGTTCAGATTCCTCGAGGCAAAATAAAATGAGTTTATTCAAAAGATGGTGCTTTTTAACATTACATCTTAGTCTTGAAAGGATGGGTAAATGCTTTGACTGCTCTCTATTGGGAACACCCATATCATACCTTTTCTATGCTGATTATTCAAAAATAAAATTGCTTCATTACTTCATTACTAGTCTGAAAGCCTTAGATGTTTGGTTTAATATGTGTTACATAGTTTTATAAATTAATTTGCAATTATTCATGCAGTCTCTGTTTGTCAATAGATGGCTATCTTAGGGTCCTGATGTTTACAGTTTCAGACACCAAGTCCAAAATTCTCATTTTAGTTTTGGAAATACTATTTCTTGTTGCTTTTATTGTTGCCCTATGCCATATCATTGTTTGAGCATGAAATGGCTCAGCTTTATTAACATGTGTCCTGTCTGATTCTTCAGTGTTTGTTAGTTGACAGCTTTAGAATTGAGATAAGCATTTAGTTAGCTTTATCTCATGTTGACATGTTGCTTTGGTTTCCCTTGTTTTTCTCTTTTTTTGGACAACTTTACAGAAATGAATCTCAGTGTTTGTTATGGTGTAAAAATACTTTATAAAGAATTTCAATGTTTATTTGTCAAAGCAAGGGATAATCTCAAAAATAACTTAATTAAATGGTACCAATAGAATTTTGAGATGTTCCATTTGCCCCTATTCTTAACCTAATTGATTTCCAAGTCTTGAACTATAGCAAAGTGCATGTAATGTAAATGTTTTTATATTGGAAATCATTCAGATTGCTAACATGTATAAAAAATATTATTTCTGGTCTATACAAATAAAATGAATAGCTGTCAGTCAGAGTAGAGTACCTGCTATCTAAACATCCATTCCATTTGTTTTATAACATCCATTCCATTTGTTTTATTGACTTTTTCGTAGACATAGAATTTCAATATATTATATTTCAAATAAATTCTATGAAATATTTTTTAATAATTTCTGCTTGACTGTCAGTTTGCTCATTTTGAATTGTTAGATAGGAATAAAATAAGTAATTTTGGAATTATTATTTTTTACACAATTACAGAGTTTGTATTGTACATTTATTTGTCAGTGTTTAATATTGATTATGTTTATTGGACTAATGTTTGTACAAATATGCTCCTTATTATTTTCGACTTATTTCCTATTTTATGATTTGATTCTTTATTAACGGTTTCATAAATTCACTTAGTTCCAGCAGGTATAGAATAATAAAGCAATAAAGTATGTACTGCAACTCCGGGATAAGCCTTACACATCATAAACTTGATGTTTTATCCACTCCGTAAAACAAATCGGTGATTATTATTTGCAGCTAATCAAATATATATGTGACAACCTAGTCACCATGCATTTATCATTGGAGCTATAATGTTCTATTTAGTCTCTTAAATTCAGTTTTCTACAATAAAATAGCAGAAAGATCAGAATGAAGCAAATTGAATGTTATCCAGTTTCATGCCAGATAATAAATCAAAGATATTATTAGCTAAGATTTTTCTTGTCAATTTTCATCTTGTAAAAATTAAGTTTCCGTGATGTTTTATGTTAATTTATAAAAACATGTAAATTGTATTTTCTGATTTACATTCAATGTCATAAAACTTTTACTAAAGACAGATTATGGTCCAGTCAGTCAGATGACAACATAACTAGTCAATAATACATGCATATTAATTTAGTGTTTGCCCAGTAAGGATAGATTTAATAAAAAAGAGAAAATCTTGTCAATATTGTTGTTCTTTTTTCTTGTCATGGATATGTTTTTCCTATGTCATTGTGAAACAGATACGAGGTCAATATAACCTAAGAACAAAGGGCATGTTGAATAACTAATTTTATTAATCAATCTTGGAGAATTTATTTGAATAGAAATGTAATTGATTGATTGATAGGTTGATTGATCTGATATCATAATTTTGTGTCAATAGTCAATGTAGGAGTTAAAATGGCTACAGTAAATGCAATTCAAATGATTACTATTAATCTATATACATGCTATATACATGTTGCATTTCGCTGCTTCAAATGTGGTTATGACCTTGTGAAACAGAATGAATATGATCAAACATCAATATATTAATAATATATTAATGTCATTGTTGAGTATGAAACTGTGTAATACATACAAAGTACATGTGTTGAAATTGGTTGGTTAACCAACTGAATCCTGGTCTATGCTCATTTATATTTTACTTTTATTTACCTCTATAATCACATCAAAGATTCAATACTGGCTATTAATTACAATAAGAAATGAAACGTTTATTGATTTAAGCAGCCTAGATAAAGTTATTTTATCTGTTTTTGAACATACATTTGACCAAATTGATATACAGATATAGTATCTTCTCTCCATAACCTAAGTCATAAAGTGTCTTATGAGTTATATATATTAAATAATCACATTTTAGAACGTGGAATGTGAGATTTACAGCCTGTATTGGTGTCTTCCCTCTCAAGCATTAGATATAGTGATACTCTGATAAATCAGAATGGAAAACATGGGTTATTAGAGCTCGGTGTCAAGGAACAATGTTGCAAAGGAAATATAATCAAGGGACTTTATATAATTTTTTCATCTTTCTCCCATTTTTTCTTGAATTATAATGATTGTGCAAGTACACTGCATGTTAACAACCTTCCTTGTATCCCTACATGAGAAGAGGTCTCCAGCCCCCCGCGATCCATCATATACATGTATATCACAGGAGAGGTTAACTAATACCATAATGCATTGCTGTCACAAAATGTTGAATTTTATATAGAGGTCCAGGTTTATCTTTATTTAATGCATTATGAGATTGATATAATTTCTCTGTATATACTATATATATGAGGATCCCATGGGCCATCACATACTCGTATATTTCACACTAAATTCTACACATGATTGATGCTAAGTGTGAATTTAGAGTGAATCTTCTGAGTCAACCCCTTACCCCTTCACCAGCATGACAAACCATCATAAAGAGACTTAAGAATGGATTTGTAGTCTGTAGACCCATTGTTATTAGTAAGAATAAGATCATACTATAAACCATCTGGCATGCTCGGTTACATTTGATTTGGAAAAATCAATGAATCATTAAGTCATACTCAGAGATTGAATAAATTCACTTATCTCGTTAGATAACAATTGTTTATCTCATTGTCGTAATGATAGTCATAGACTCAATCTGGATTTTATGCAGATACGTTATTAATCAGTAAAGTGGCTAATGTCATCTTGCTCTTTGCTCGTAATTTCCGTAGACAAATTATTTTATCATATATAATAATTTAAGCTCATTTGCATCCCATCATTCCCTATTGTTATTGCTATTTATAAAATGCTATGAACTATTAAGCTTGTATTTTAATTTCTACTTTTTCTACTTGAATATCTAGTGTCAGCACCGCAGGAAGGTACTTATATTCATATCATTAAAATTATTGGCTGTTTGTTTAGAGCAAGTTTTCAACATGATCTCTCCATTATTTTACACTTCAGCTGTTAATAGAATGGCTGAGTGGGAAATAATAAATGATGATGGTTACATGGTAAATTCAGCTCAAAAGCAATAAGCTAGATTGAAATATATCACATGATACATTGATAAATGCATGAAACTCATGATATAAACCATTTTAAACGGTTTAATTTTTAGAATTTGTGAAATCAAAAATAAAGTAAGAGTTGAGAATCATCTTGGGGCATATTTGTTCAAAGCATTTTGCTCTCAAATATGAAACAGTGTTTTAAAAAACATATTTTACACACATTAATGCCTGGGTCACATTCGCTCCGATCCATCGGCCGGCCCCCGGTCGATTGAGTGTTTTGTTCAATATTGTATTCAATTTTGAACAAAATACTCAATCGGCCGGGCGCCGTAGTGAAAATCGGAGCAAATGTGACCAAGGCATTAAAGTAGCAGTCATTTTAGATTCAAAATGCCAACTAAAAAAAATATTGCAGCAAGTGTGTACTATGGCATGTTGAATCATACATAGTTTTATCTTTTAATAAAAGAATCAAAGCTTCTACCTGACTCTGTACAATTTGTTAATAAAGTGACTGGCACTATGAAACTCTTAATCGACCTGTATATTATATTTTTATTTGATGTTATATTTCTATTCAATTGCAGCGACGAGATCGCCAGCAAAATTCCAGGCGCACCAGTAAGTTTTTACTTTGTCATATTCATAAAATACAGTATTATGTAATCATCAGCCTCCTGTAGTGTAATATTCTGTTTAGCAGTAATTTTTTGACAAAAATATTTGATCAATGAGGTTATAACCCAGGAAGCAATGCTAAACAGACATTTCCTTTGTAAAGGTCTTAGTAATAATAAAACCTATGTTGTGTAAGATGTCGATGTGACATATTATTGTAAACAACCATTAAATGTTCTATTGTAATGGTACATTAATTGCATATATGCATGACTGATAAGAGTGTATCTGCATTGCATGAAATAATTGCTTCTAGGTGATTAATAATATTATTGATAAATTGCATAACTTATCCATGAATACCTGAATAATAAATATTTGTTATCTGATTGACCCAATCTTAAATAATTATCAAATATTACATACTGCATAGTATATGTATTTGTCTAGAAATGCTTATTTCCATGATGACATTTTCTCACTATAGACTGAAATATAATTTCCCTTTCAAACCCAGATTTGACTAATCTTTTTGTATTCTTTTCACATGCTTCTATTGTACTAATTGGGTGTAGAACGTAGATATATAGTTCAGAGTGTAGCATGATTTATCTTATTCCAGCCTATGGTGAAACTGGCTAGCAAATATGAAAGAAAAGTTGACCGCAGATCAGTTCGAGAAAAAATGGCGATGTTTTCTAACCAACCAGCATGACCTTGGCATGATTTGTGTGTTATAACAACAGGTTTGTGTTTTAGTCCCTTGTTGAATTAACTTTACTGAAACTTTCCATGAATTTACAGTTCTAAGTTTAATATTATTGTATTTTAGGGTGGATGGTGACCAAAATGGAATTCCCAATGATAAACCCGCATGTAACATGTGTTACTAACTCAACCCACTGTCATTTTTGTGAAAAACAACTAAAGAATATAATTTTCTCATTTTTAGCCAAAAGTTGTTATGTTTAGCAAATATGAACGCCAAAAAGATAAAAGATCATACGATCAAAGAAAAGATAAATTCAAGGGCCCCACATGGGCACCAGTTACAGAAAGAATAACACCAACTGGTCCTGTGCCTGTATTTAATGCCCCAAGCGATGATGAAGAGGAGGAAGAAGAGCCCGCAGCTGAGGAGGTTGCAGCAGAGTAAAGGTACTGCCATCTATAGTTACCTGACTGTATTACAGCTGATGACTGCATGGCATGGTACTGCCGCCTATAGTTGTGTTGACCTGTATTACAGCTGATGACAGCATGGTATGATCCTGACCCCTATACTTAACAGACAGTATTACACTGTCCTGTGACAGCTCAGCATGGTTTGTGTTGTATACTGATACCACTGTATTGCATCCACGTTAATATACTCTTTGCAGACATTATCTGCATGTTGATCTCTGACAACAGGGGGAGAACTTTGACATCTAGGAGGAAGCTAATCTTTTACCAAATACTTTCACATTTCTTCAATGTTTAGGCCCAGAATATTTCTTGGAAAAAATTATGTCCCCTTACATGATCACTCTGTACTCAACTACATGTACACTTGAATAATAAGCCCCAGGATGTTGTGGTTTATTCAATACCTGCATGTGATAGGTGAGGACTGGTTCGTTAGTTCAGTTTCTGGTCATTGAACCAGAATTTTCGGAAAAAGTATATATTCGAAATATGTGATAAGAAAGATAAAAATAACATTTTTAGAAAAGAGAAAACATTTTTGGTAGGAGGGTCTTAAATTGGTGACCAGTTACATAATTTTCATTTTAGTAAATGTCAAAATGCTGTAAAATTGCACATACAGTTTAACACTTGCCTACTTTTCATTTGAAGTGAAGTGTATCGTGTCATGACCACTGGCCTCCCCATCACTGAAGCATTGGAGTGCAACACATCCTAGATATTTTCACATGTTTTTGATTATTTATTAGTCCAATGGACAAAAAAGATTTGAGAAAACCCCAAATATAGCATTGTATTGCACATGTTGCACCATACTACCTTCTTACACTTAGACTGCCACAATTCACTACCTTTTTTCAAGAAGAACAAATTTTGAAAAAAATTAGGATCATTTGAAAAGAGAGTAGAAAATGGAGGTCTATGTTGTAATTTAATTATATAGAGGATTTGTTACTTTTTTCTTTTTTAGTTTATAGTGTTTGGCAGAATTTTGTTGCATTGCATGTACAGTAATAACACTATTATTTTGCCTTAAAATTCAAGCAAATGCACGATTTATCTCTCTAACTTTATTTCAAAGTTTGCAATATTTGAACTGTGTCATGAGATATCCAGGCCAGTCTAAGCCTATATCTAAAGAAATTGAAGGAGAAACAAAAAATGGTTGATGATAGAGAATGCCTCAAAACTCAACACTTCTATTTCATGATGAAGTTGATTGTTGAGGTTAAGTCTGTTACAGAGAAGAGAGCTTTTGAGATGTATAAAAAGAGGAAAACCTAAAATATGAAAAACTTCTCTTTCTCATGACCAGTTGATTGCATTTCTAACCAAAAGGTTTATTTCATAGATTTAACAATCAATTATACATAAGTACATAGAATTTGGCTGGAATTACATTTTGCTTGAATTTACCATGACTTGTTTTATTATTTTGCCTGTATTCACATAAATAAACAATGTTTTGTGGTAATGTAGTGAATTGCAAATTGTAAAAAGTTACCGTGAAACATGTTGAATTTGATTCATGCATGTAATTTTTACAAATTCAAAGTTTTTCATTTTTATGCATCATAATGCATTCACAATTTCTGAATCTTGTCTAATTTGTTAATCATGAATCAGAAAATTAGCAAACTTTAGAGAAAATAACATGCAAGAGAAATGAACATGTTTTACAGTACATGTACTTCATGAATGTATGTGTAAAGCACAGTTTAGCATGGAGTTTTTATGAGTGTATTTGAACATCAATATTCACAATCATGAATTTTAATGTATATATAGAGTTGATGTCAATTACATGTGTGCAGCTAGGGAAACAATACCCTTGCAGATAAATTGAGTTCAGTATATGTTTTCATGAAATAGCCATGATGTTTGAATAGTACCTCTCTCTCTGTGGTATTTGCAAAAGTAATATGCATGCAGTTTCCCTGTACATGTACAATAATAGCTCATTATATCGTGGCTTGATTGTATAGATGCAAGTATGACAGAAAATCTATCACAATTAGAGTTTTCACAATAGTCAACTTCAGCCTCTGATAACTAGTTAGAGAGCTCTAGTTAAACTAAATAAATCATTTTGAACTTTCTATATTGTTTGAACCATTTACCACAATGGGCATATATCTATATAGTATACACATATGGCATATACAATTATTCATAACCATAAGACTTATAGATATGAATATATATGAATACCTTACACTTATTAAGTGTAAAGTGTATTTTTATGACTCAAATTATACATTCTTATTTCCAGGTTTTCGTCTACTATCATAAAATACTTTGGCAGCCATGGACTGTAGGACTCTTAGCTAGGGGCTATTATTTAACTATTTAACACTGTAACAGACATCTATCTTGGGACTGGACTCTCGTATAGACAGGCATTGAGTAGTAATGCAAACAACATCAGGCAAACACTATTGCTTAAGGAACTGCTGAAAGAATCATGAAAACACTGTTGTTGAAGATACAAGTTTGGCATTGTTCTATTTTATATGGTTCAGCTTGAACCCTTTAGACTTGCGATATTTTAGTATTAACCCTTCAATGTTTGAAAAGTTCAATTTTGTAGTTTCAACATCTGAAGGGTTATGTAGTGTTTTTGTTAAAACCACCAAAAAGGTCTGTTAATCCACTGCAGTTCTTGGAAGTGTTTTTTGTCACCATTAAGTTAGTAGCTTAGTGTTTTTAGTTACAATACCTTTAAACAACTGAATTGAAATTCAATGAATTGAGTTACAGTACATTAATTGTATTATGTAGTATTTTTAATTCAAATTCAATTCATATAAAACAGACCAATGTCAAACATCTATTCTATGTTATGAATATTATGTCAGTTTGGTATAATTTACCTAATAAATCAACCTAAATACAGAACCTTCATTTTAGTCTTATTATGGATTATGTCTTGAATGTGTCAAACAATACATTCCATGTCAAACAATACAATATTCCCCATCATTACCTCAATGTCATGTTTCTTCTTCCATGATTGGTTGAACACATGACATGAATATCCTTTGATATTTTCATGCGATGCTTTTTGATTAAACCTAGATTTGGAGAGTGAATTGATGATATTCTTCCTCCCGAGTTTCGTTCAAGAGCAAATAATGGCTAGATCTTTTTATCCTTCCCCTTGTAAATCTTCACATTGTTCATGTCAACAGAGCAAGCCATAGTGTTCAAATCAATAGAGCAAACCACAGTGCTTGTGACAATATAGCAAGACACAGTGTTCACATAAATAGAGGAAGCCACGGTGTTCACATCAATAGAGCAAGCCACAGTGTTCACATCAATAGAGGAAGCCACGGTGTTCACATCAATAGAGCAAGCCACAGTGTTCACGTCAATACAGCAAGCCACAGCCTCGTGCGAACCCCCTGTTTAAAATTCCCCAAATTTGATAAATTAAATTAGGTATTTAACCCATCATGAGAAATATTACAATTAAAAAGAGAAATGAAGGAGCGGCATACTCGATTATGATCAATATTTTATAGTGCGACTCTTGGTTCCTTGGGCAAACTAGTGGCAAATAAATACCAACTTAATAACCCAGATGCGAGTAGGTAGTAACCAGCTCCACCACCAATTGGCTCATTCGGGTCAGTGAACATGGCAGGTATATACTTGTAGAAAGTTCGCTTAAACTTGAATTTTACCTGTTTAAGTGGATCAATTTTCATATAATCCTTATGTGTCTGATAATTATACTAATGAAAATATGTCAAGTAGCCTAAAAGAAAACATTATCTGCCCAACACAAGGAAAGATATTTGACTTTTTTGATCTTATAACATGGGGTCTATGGGGAATCTCTCCGACCTAGAAGTCACATTTCCCAAAGAAGATGAAATTTTCAAAGTTGGGAAATACTTTTTACACTACATTTCTAGATACAATTTTACATGTAGACTTCAAATATGACATCACTTTAAAGATTCTCGCAATCTTTATCCAATCAGCGTTTGCGAGTGTGTCGGCTCACGTATAAAAGGCGAATCCAACTCAAATCCATGCAGGGGTGTATGAGGTACTTGAATAGGAGAGCTCGTGAAATCTGAATTTATATGCACATGGTCAATGTTTACACATGTTTGGAGTTATTGAAGAAAATGTGATATGGGTGTGGTTCCGAATTTGAAGTCATTGCTGGAAAATATGATTTTAATACGTGAAATTATATCTATAAATACAGCACTAAAAATAACAGCACACATGAAGTACCAAGGGCGGATCTGGGAACCAACAAGGGGGGGGGCCAAACTTGTGGTCTGAGAAAAAAAATTCCGCGCTTGCGCGGAAAAATTTTTTGGGCCCCATTAACCCAAAAGTGGGCCCAAATTTTGAAATTTTGAGGCCCATTTACTTCAAAATTTGGCCTAAAATTAACAAATAAGGCCTTACAAGGCCAATTTATGACCAAAAAGGCCTACTTTTTGGGGCCTTAAAGCCTTTTTAGGCTCAAAATTTTTTTTGGGCACAATTTTTTTTTTCTGGGCCCACCCAAGGGGGGGGGGCCCGGGCCCCTGGGCCCCCCCCCCCATATCCGCCAGTGAGTACATGTATGATTGTGTCCAGAAATGTTTGAAACCCTTACAGAAAATTCTGTCTGCATTTTGTCACCATTGCTCTTTCTTCCCGCATTCTAGTGCTGTTTGAATGAATATATCAATAAATGTATTTCTAACTAAAATATATCACATTTTTTGTGAAACCACAAACATTTAGATCATAAAAAAATATTCAATACTTGAGTGAGCACGATATGCAAGGGTTACTAAGTTGACACAGTAAATGACCACTGATATTGTGTTAGCAAATATGTATTAGCAGAATCACACTACCATACCTAACACCTAGAAATGCATAAGATACTTTGTTTGTCTAATTGGATTGTTTAGTATATTTTTGAAAGTACCTTATCAACATCTAACTTTCAACCGATAAACCATTAATAAGGAACAGAAAAATAAAAACAAATATATGATCATTACTAATAAGCCAAATGGGTTGCTCATGAAACCCAAATGCAAGGTATAGTAGTGTGGAATACGCTGTGTGCATGGACTAACACCCCTCACTTTCATATTGAAGTGACTAATTGGTTTATGTTTACGTTTTAATGTGTTTTGGGTTCCTTGTTACAGCAAGGGGGGTCAGTAAAGTAGACTAACATGTTTGCATGGCAAATTTTGATCGAATATGTGAGACACTTTAAGTAAATTTTGAATACTTTAATGACGAAAATCAAGATTATTTCTACTCGCATCTAGTATTCACATTGACATTAAAAGATAATATCGCAGTAGAATTAGCAAGACATATAGTTTATTGCAAACAATTTCAGATTGGAATATAAGATCCATTCTTTATCTGAAGGAAATGTATTTAGAATTAGGTAGCGAGCGTGGTGCAAATGCGCATGTAAACAAAAAGACAACCCCACTTGAGAAATCTGAAACGTACTCACTAAAATAAGTATAGGTATCCACTATAAAAGCAGAAAGTCAGTTAGAAAATGATGTAATAGCAAGTTTGAAAATGTAAATGTCAAAAGAATCTGACGCTTCAGACCTGGTTTTTTCACATATCTCAGCTCAACTTAGTCAAGTTTATTCATGAATATATTCTGCATCTGATGGTAGTTTTAAATAGTAGTTCCTATCTGGCTTGAAATATGTAATGTATAAAACTGTTATAGCAGTTATATAGGCTACATCAAAATGTGGTTGTGGTTTAATTTACCATATGGTAAGGAATCCCTGCTTCACAATTAGTTTGGGAAAATATATTAGATGGAACGAAAAAATCTTTTTATTCTTTTTTTATATCAATCAATTATGCAGACGAGAGCCAAATAATACAAGGCTGTGTGTAATACAAGGCTGTAGCATGCCGTGGACCGTGGTGGAGATTTAGCGTGCTTTTATGCAGGTTTTAGCAGGCGGTGGGTGATTTACGTAAGTCACCGACATCAGACCCCAGTGGAAGAATTACAGATCAGGGGGTCCAGGAAAATGTAACCAGTGGATATACTCAACAAGATACACTGTGTCATCTTGTGGTTTCTTCATCGGGCTTCATCTTCAGATTGGTTGCATGAAGACGAAACTTAAGTATCACCCGGGTTAGTTCATAATCGGACTTTGTACTACCTTTAGACCTTCCTTTAGCACTTTATCGTCAATCATTAATCACTTCACGTGACTGCATTAATCAATCTCGCCAATAATGAATATTGATTTCTACAATCGATCTGAACATTTCCAGAAATCAAAACTTATGACATATACCATTTCTACTAGTTTCTGTTTAAAGATGCTTTTCTGAGGCTTTCTAATTAAAAAGAAGATAGCATAATGCGTTTAAAGGTAAGTCAGTGTAGAGAACATTTTTTAGCTCAGCAGTTAATGAGAATAGCCAGTGATTCAAAAATAGGGCAAGATATTGCCAAAATGGAATATATTGTATCTAAAATGCACTTCAATAATATTTGTCACGAGCGATCGTGTTGGACCATTCAACCTACTATATTGATAGCTAAATAAAGCACTACCAAAACGTAGCTAAACCAAATCGATATGGCCTTATGAATAGAAATGGTACCAACACAGGTAATAATGTTTACACACCGGAGTTAGGCCTACACCAGTACACTCAAAGGCTGATATATCACATTTAGCATACGACACTACAATGTATAAAATGTGCAAAATGGGGAGTATTGATGTGCTGGTTCTCAGGTCGTAATGAGAGGAACCAGTTAGAGTACATATTGCAAATGATATGTAGGAGGAAGTAGGATATAACTCCCAAACTTGATCAGGTATGTAGAAAAAATATCACCTCGTCGTATTCCATGCAGAATCAAGTACTAGAAACTTTTGAAATAGACAAATACTCGAATACAAGAATACTCCGTACGGATGACATCATGTCGAAAATAGATACTGGCGTCAATTTTGATCAAAACTATAGCCGCCCGGTCTCTTCCTATCTTAGGGTTAAGGAGAGCAAAGAGGGACGATCTCGAATAACCATCCTCTGAACGCAGGGCTCTAGACATCATCCGCTCTGTTGAAGGAGCAGGGTGGATGATCTCCTGATATTTGTGATCAGTGGGGATGCGAAGAAACCTGCCAGAGAATCTGTAAATGTGGATAATAATCTACAATTGACAATGTGTAGGGTTGAAGAGCCCATTGTACAACAGAATAAAGTATAACCTAAAATGTAAATGGCTCAGCATTTAATTTCCGAGCCTTAGAGTCAAGACAGAACTCAAAGACCATGGTTGCCCTTTTTAAAACATGTCTTTAAAAGAGAGCAACTTGGTGTATTCCTTTCCTTACATGTACTTACACGCTGATATATAAATATGGTGCTTGGTACATATATCACAAATTTAATCTAATTTTTGGCTTAGACCAGTAGGCCTATGCAAAGTTAATTGTTGGGATATTTTAAGTAGCCAAGTCGATTTCGATTTATGTCCAACAAAGTTAAATCTGATTTGAAAATTGCCATTGATTAAGCCTACTTATCTATCTTACGTAAATGGTTAAAAGTGCAGATCCCCGGGAACTGCAGATCTTAATCATTTTTTTCAATTTCAATTTATTCCTTTATCATATCATAAAATACAGTTCATATAAAAGGTATAACAGGTGACATCATCTCTGATGTTTATACCCAAAACTCGTTTTTGAAGTTCTGTTTATTTATAACAAAAGCGAGGAATTATATCGATGATTCTATCATCAGGTCTTCTGAACTATTTGACACGTTTGTGATAAAAGAGGAATATTGCGAAAGGGGTAACTACGTTGAAGCAGAGACATATAAAACAAACATTTCACACGTTTCAC